AAAAGATATGAGGCATGTAAGTGTACCACCCTATAAGATAAACTATAATTTTCATTTTTAATATAGATTTTGGTACTAATTTTATATGTGTGTAGCCAACCATCATAAGGTTACTCGGTTAGTGTTATAGGGGTTACCCAGTTAGTGTTATAATTGTTACTTTGTTAGTGTTGTACTTTGTTATTTAAGGGTTACTAAATAAGTATAATAAGACTCTGTTCACTTCATCTTAAAGATATAATGTTTGGAAAAAAATAATTTCAGTTTAGTATAAATAAGTTCAATTTGGTATATTTAATTTCAGTTCAATAAAAAGTAATTACTTTAAAGAAGAAATATAATAGAGAAACAATTAAAAAAAATAATCAACAAAAATAATTTCAATTCAATGAAATTAATTTCAGTTCAGTAAACATAATTTAAGTTCAGCAAAAATAATTTTAGTTCAATAAAAATAATTTTATTTAAGTAAATATAAGGTGAAGTGAACAGGGCTTAGAAGTTACTCTGTCAATATAATAGGGTTTAGTTAGTTAGTGTCATAGGGGTTACTCCGTTTTTTTTACAAGCGGTCACACGATGTGACCAGCCACACAGAAAAAATGTTGTAGATTTTGTATATGTCGTCACGAGTGATATGTAAGAATGATATGCATTTTATTTTTCTTCTCTTATATGCTTGTATATTTAATTTTTTTATTTACTATTATATATATGCAATAAAAATATAAAACGGTTACATATAATTCAAAAAAGACGGATACTCAAACAACTGACAAGCCTAAACATCATTCCGAGGTTAAAATTTTAGAAAAAAAATAAATTATACGTCGTAATAAGCTTTAAGTTAGTGTCTTTGCAAATTTTTTAGACGGGTAAATTTTTGGTTGTAGAAGGTGCGATAGGTGTGTGGTGATGATTAGGTGAATTCATCATGTAATAAAATCAAGATAGTAAGTGATGGGATCAAAAATCCTATTTTTAAAAGTTTCATGTTAAACTTTAAGTGTTTTTAGAAGCCATAGAGGAGAAAAAAGATACGAAAATATATGTGATATACGATGTACAACATATAATGATCATGTTATTTTAATGGTAAACTTTTCCAAAAATATATTGAGTTAGTGGACGAAGATGGTCATTTAAAAGGCAAATTTTTATATGTGGTTGGCCACACCTATGGCAGGGGTTACTCGAGTTACTCAATTAGGGGTTACTTGAGGAGTTCAGTCAGGGGCTACTTGAGGAGTTCGGTCTGGGGTTACTTGAGGGGTTCAGTAAGGGGTTAGTTACTCGGTCATGAGTTACTTAAGGGGTTACTCAATCAGGGGTTACTCGAGGGGTTACTCGGTTATGAATTACTCGACCAGGGTTTACTTGGGGGGTTCAGTCATGGGTTAATTGAGGGGTTCGGTCAGGGGCTAGTTACTCGGTCATGGGTTACTTAAGGGGTTACTCAGTCAGGGGTTACTCGAGGGGTTATTCGGTCATGAGTTACTCGAGTTACTATGTCAAGGTTTACTTGAGGGGTTCGGTCAGGGGTTCGATCAGGGGTTAGTTACTCGGTCATGGGTTACTTAAGGGGTTACTCAGTCAAGGGTTACTCGAGGGGTTACTCGGTCAGGGGTTACTCGAGGGGTTACTCTGTCAGGGTTTATTTAAGGGGTTACTTGAGGGGTTCGGTCAGGGGTTATTTAAGGGGTTACTTGAGGGGTTCGGTCAGGGGTTATTTAAGGGGTTACTTGAGGGGTTCGGTCAGGGGTTACTCGGTCATGGATTACTTGAGGGGTTCGGTTAGGGGTTACTTGGTCATGGGTTACTTAAGGGGTTCCTCGAGTTACTCTGTCAGGGGTTTAATTTACTCGAGGTCGGGGGTTCGGTGAGGGGTTACGAGTTACTCGGTCAGGGGTTGCTCGGTCAGAAGTAACTCGAGTAACCCCTGACTAAGTAACTCGAGTCATCCCGGCCACCCGGTGTGACCAGCCACGCAAAAAATCCCCCATTTAAAAATGAGGTGGCCAGTGGCTCAAGTAAAAATGAGGGGAAAAATATGACTTAATATGGGTATTGATTGTCAGTACATTGAGTTGAATTATTTTTCAAATCTTTCCATACAATTCAAGAATTAAAAAAAAAAAGGTAGTTTTCAAGTAATACTTCGTATATTAATATTTTGAGGGTTAAAAATATATGATTAAGACATATTTATAAGTAAATTCATTATTACTCATTAAATCATTTTATTTTAAAATTTTGTGAAATGAATATGAGTATCAAGATTTGTAAGCCGTGCATCGTAGGGGTGAAAGTTCGGTATTCGGTTTGGATTTTGAACCAAACCGAATCCAAACCGAATTAATTCGGTTTTGAAATTTTCAAACCGAATTCAAACCGAACTAGATTTGAAACCGATCCAATCCAAACCGAAATTTAAAAACCTAATTCGATTCAAAACCGAAAATCGAACTTTTAAGGGGATTTTTCCAGATTGTTGAAGAAAAATATTTTTTTAAAAAAACAGTCAAATTTACAATGAATAGATCTAAAAAAATAATAATAATAAAAAGAAGTAATACACTAACACAACTATAATAATTTTATAAATTGTATTGATTACAAGACTAACATCTAGAACTATAGATTATATAAAGGATAATTAAAAAAATCAAGGATAACCCAGAAAATTTATGGTGGTGGTGATTGATGAGCGACGATGAACACAAGCGGCGACGAACACGAATAGCGGTGGAATAAGGTGACAAATCGTGACTGAAGGAGTGATGGAGGTGGTGACCGGACTGAGGAAGGTGGTATCGTGGTGATGACAAACACCGGAACACAAGCTGCTTTTAGAAATCGTGACTAGATCGAGGGAGCACAAACACGAACTGTCGAACTGATGAAGGTGGTTGTGAGATACGTACTGAGGAAGGTAGTTGTCGGAGTTAGTGAGGAGGTGGATGGAGTGAGTGAGGTGTTGAGAGAGGAATGGAGGATAAGGGTTTTGGTGAGGAATAGTGGAAGGCCGCAGAAATGAGAACTGACTAACTGAGAAGAGTGAAAGAAGGGAAGTAAAAAATTAGGGTTTTGCTTTATATATGTAGGGGATATCCGGATATATGGGCTGAGAATCTTTGGGCTTTAAAACTTCGGTTTGGATTTCGGTTTTCGGTTTTTGAAAGCCCCAAACCGAATCCAAACCGAAATATTTCGGTTTCAATTTTTTGAAACCGATCCAAACCGAAAACCGAAAAAAACCAAACCGAATTTCTAATTCGGTTTGGTTTGGTTCGGTTTTCGGTTTTTGTCCATATCACTTTCACCCCTAGTGCATCGCACGAGTGATATAATAGTATATATATTAAAACTCAATGGGAAGACATGAGCTCGCCACGTGTCATCATGTTTAGGCAGATGATGTGGTGACATGTCATACAATTACTATAATTCATTTTAAAAAATAAAGAATTGTTAGCATGAATGTTCAAACCTATGACCTCATGCTTATTATACTTTAACTTCAACCACTACTCCAATGACACATCTCATATCTACAATGTTTTGTTAAAAAGAGTTAATCATATTCATAAACTTGAAGTTGAACGAAGCAAATTAATAATTTTAAATACTAAATATTGGATAATATATTTTAATGTTCAATAATAATTGGAAAAATATATTTAAATAGCACGAGTACTGAAGTAAATGTTGTTGGAATAAAGTAAGGAAATTCAACAGCCTAATCAGACGCGTGTTGGCCTGTTGGACTCCAACAGTTTGATCTTTGGATTCCCTCACTTTATTTCTTGAGTAATTCTTATAACCCCCAATTTAAGAGGTTGTTTAAGGTGATTAATCACCACAATTATTCTCTTGATAAGTTACTCTCATAACCCCCCATTTAAGAGGATGTTTAAGGTGATTATTCACCTCCCTTGATGCTTGGGATTCTTATCTATGTTCTTTCATGTTTCTCTATAAATAGAAGAAGCCTTTTTTTTTCCTCTGATATTTACACTTAAAAAATACATCAAACACAATAGTCTAAACACATTCTCTATTGGGCATAAGTTACTTGACTCAAACCTTCCACCCAAAAGTGTCATTGTGTGGAAGGGGGTGTGTTAGCCTTAGAGAACGTGCCGGCAAATACAACTGAGCACCTTGGTTGCGCCGGAAATTCGTTTTTAAGTCAGTGATTTGCATCACGACACACCGACATTATTCCATTGTTTGTGAGATTATCTTTTTAAAAATGATTATATTTTTGAAGATGATTATAATGTAGTCTTATGACTTTTGACTACCACAGTTTTTTTTAAATGAACGGTTGAGATGATTTGTTTTCTGATTTATTTTAATTAAAAATAATTTTTTAAATAATTTTAAACATATTTTTATCTTCCAGAAATTATTTTTTGATATTTTTAAAATTCTAGAAATAAAAAAAATATAAAATGATTAAAAAATGATTTTTTTCATTAAAATTAATAATTAAAAATACATCAAAAAACAAATAATCTCAATCGTCCATTTTAAAAAATTGTGGTGGTCAAAAGTCATAAGACTACATTATAATTTTCATCTTTTTTATCTTACTTAAATATTTTTATACTGTTTGTACTAGACTACTCTTTTATTTACAACAAATATAACTAATTTAATCTATATTTGTATTTTATTACAACTTTTATTATAAAACCTCATTTATAATATACATATAATAACCAGGGACATTACCCGGCCAAAAACTAGTTATTTATCCTATATCCAAAGCTTTGAAGGTTATGCACTTTCTCTATAATTCTTGATTCGGTGAATGATGTTAAACGGGCGCTATATTATGAGCAGTATTTTCTACTCAACATAGCCAATATTTTAAAATCTTATAGATATCAATTATCTCAGTTGCTTACAGTTTTGAACAGTGGTAAATCTGGTAGCAAAAGACTTTGGAAAAATCTTGTCTGTAACAATATAAAGTACTTAACAAAAAGGCATATCTTTAAAATTTAGATCATATAGAGATTAATCTACTTTCCTTTAAAGCTTTCTAAAGTCAATTTTTGTTCACATATTAAGGTGTAAAACCACCTATTTGTGCATTGAAAGTAAGGAACAACAACTAACTGAAACAACATTATATTGATTTTTGATATATTTTGTGTCAAAGAATTGGGTGTACCAACTACAAAATTGTGCTATCAAATTTTATTTTCCCTCCTGATAGAGTGACATGTAGATCAAACTCTTAGAGCCACATCATCTGTGATCCATCTGTGCACACCTTGACAGCCTTCATTCCATCAACTGTTACATACAAATTCACGATAATAATCAGAATAAGATCAAGCCATATATATTTACCGGGTAGTTATTACCTAAAAAAACCAAAAAAAAAAAAAAAAAAAAAGAGCAACTAACTGGAACTATTACCGACATAATTCGTTCACATCAATAGAATAAACCATCTAATGCATTAGATACCAACTTAAGATGGTGAACAAATAACCACCAGGTTCGTGACAAGAGCAACCTTGTTAGCCACAATTCTCATTAGATGAACCAGACAAAGCGTCTACCAAGACCATACCTGCTTGGTGGGTTTGCTTGAATAAAAAATTGCCTTAGCTAGAATCTAGATCAGATACCTAATGCAAACCTCCCTTTTAGGTCAGTAATCAACCACTTGGATGAGAGGAGAGCAAATACCGCAAATGAAGAAAAAGAGTGGAGGAAACAGAAGTTTGAAAGAAGATTCAATGGATGGGCCAAAGCTGGCAAGTTTGATGGTAGGAAAATGCTTTGACTGATCAATATAATTTAAGTTATCCTTTACTGGTAGCCAAAGTATTGTAAGATACAAACCTTCACCCAACCTAGCCCCGTGTTCGCTTTATACAGCTGGGATATAAAATTTCATCATTTAGCTGGAATTTGTGCAAGCAAGCCAACACTGAACAGCAATAATTTTGAGCCACACATCCCAGACTTGGCCAAACAGAAAGTTATGAATTCTTAAAAAGAAACAGAAGGTAAAAGGAAAACCACGTACCTCATCAGAAAGGCAGAATTTGTTGCAATAAACATCACAGGATGAGCCAATAGAAAATACAAAGACCTCAAAACTACAGCACAAAGAATCACATGAAGATCTACAAGAAGCTTTGCACGATCAAGCAGCATGGATTCAAACGTAAATGGCTCAGCCTTCCTAGGTGAATGCGCATCACCAGGTTAATTTGGAGGGTCTTTCTGAGGCGATGGATTACTATACTTTATCATCTGTTGAAGACAGGAAACATATAGGAAATTAAATATATAATCAAACATTGTGACACTCAATGGGTACAGTTGAGGTATAATTAATCCTTCAACATAACCAACTACAAAGAATGAATATTGATTTTTGCAACACCAAGTATCCCAACACCAAAAAAATGGTTTGAATTGACAGAATCAAACAAGTAAATTTTATCCCACATAATAAACAAATAAATAGAAAGTGGTCTGCTACAAAATACTGATTGAAAGAAATTGTTGGAGACTCAGAGGGAAAGACTTAAGGAAGTTAGGAGAGCGTAGTAAACGAGGATAAAAGTAATGTATCATGAGGTCTTTCTGCAATTATAAATTAATGGAAAAACATAATGTAAGATGGAAGGTAGAATGATTTACGGAAATGAGAGGCTAATTAATGAGAATAGCTCTATCTCCCATAAATCCATTACAGTATTAGTGTGCAGCATGCTCTACTACTATGTCATTTAACATTGAGCCATTTGGGGCCCCTAAGATATTGAGGCCCTGTAAGTAGGTGAGGTACAATTGGACCACCACATACGCTGATGATTGTAAGAGTAAGATTTATTCTGGCTCACTTTTTTAAAAGAAGATGGTTCTATAAAAGTCTGCTTTGCTTGCTATAATTTCTAAGTCTGGAGGAAGCATGAAGGAAGAATCCTGTGATAACTGATAAGTGACTTATCTAGAGTCATTTTAGGTTTTCTCCAACAAATTTGTGCCCAGGTTATACTCTATCACAGATCCACCAACGGTGATTCACTAGATTTTTTTTTATTTTTTTTAGTTTTGTCACTATTGATATGTCAGAGCTCAAGCCAGAAAATATAGCTTTGCATCCAATTGGATCAGCTAACATCATTAATTCTTCTGAATAGAGAACAAATGCCTTATGAGGCAGTTGATGGCACATCAATTTAACATGAAACACTCGAGGCTAGCTAAGATGAAAAAGCACCTTGTAGAAATATTTTTTCCGGAGCTTGATTGCTGTCCGTATGCATCTTTTGACTCTTATCTTCAGCACATTATCATTACAAATCTGCCAAATAATATTTATAAGCATAGACTGATATCACTTATATTTTTCAGAAACAATAAATAAAGATACTAATAACAAACACATACACAGTAACTAGTAAGTCCGATATGACAATAGAAATCGTGTAGGATAATTCTCAAAATATATAGTAAGAACACCTTCCCTCTCCTACCCCAACCTTAAAGTCACCATTGCAATTTACCGGTGATGCCAGATAATTTGAAACATAATTTTCAAAGACCACTCCTCCATGGGAACAAAGACATAATATAACTACATAATCAAAAATAATGTAGTGCTCCAGAATGGAAAAACAAATATCATAAGGTCAATATTAAGAAAGGGTGGCATCAATTACAATGAGCCAAAATCTAAATTCAAAAATTAAGAAATGGAACAACATGCAATGAGTTAATAATACTTTAGCACAATGTCAATTAAGCAACGGAAGTGAAGTATACCCTGCTTAAGCAGAGTGCAACATTAAAGAATAAGATAGAAGATACAATAAAGCAAAGAACCCTTTGACAGAACTGATGATATAATTAAGTGACCCCTGTCTTCTGAAAATAACGCTCATATAGTGAGCAACGGTTTTTCTTAGTCCATTTTTCACTTTATACTACTTTATATTCATATCAAAAACCACAAAAAGAAACTCCTTACAGGAAAGGTCTTAAAATGACTTTTTGAGGGTCAAAAACTCACATTTTAGTGGGCTTAATCTCAGCATAGCTTTGCTATTCAAAATTTTAGTTCAAGGGAAAAGAAAATCAAACTATATATATTAGTTCAATAGTGAGCACTGAGCATAACTAATTTAAAGATCTGAGACTTAAAATGTAACAGACTAACAGGCATGAAAAAAAAATATATAGCAAAAGCCACATTGCAGAGAAAAGAGCAGGTAAGATCAGTCACCTTGATTAAATCATCTATTGAACGAGTTTCTTTGATGACTTTGTGACGGTTTAAAATTAAAATTGCCGCCACACAAAACACAGGTAGGTCATCCTCCCCATTCCTTGTTGCTGAGAACCCAGTGCGCTCATGTGTGCGGTCACTCCGAGACCAGAAGGTCCTAGTTAAGCCACAAAAGGAATGGTTAGATGCTAAGGACTTCATCGCCGCCTCCTCAGAACTGGCATGTTCACTATTTTCATTTTTTGCAAGTGGGCCAGACTTTGAACTGCTCTCGTCCGTTTCTTTCCTTTCCTCTCCGCTCTCAGTGCCCACATCATCCGGCAGTTGCAGCACCAATGGTTCAAGACAGTTTTGAGCAAGATTCCAAGCAAGGGGTTCATCAAAATCAGCAGCCCACATCATCTGCATGAATGGTCAATTTCTAAATGACAAGGAAACATGCAAAATAGAGCTTCTAGCTTTAGAAAATCAAAGAGTATCGAAAAAATACAAATGAACGCGAAAGATTAAAAAATAAAATTAAAAGGGTAAAGACTATAAAGCATATAATGATACACACTAGGTGCTTATAATTTTGTTATAAGAAATCAGTCCAGCCAAGATACATTCAACTCCATCAAAAGTAAAAAGGACATTAAACAGCATTAGGAGAAAATTGACTTGCAAGTTGCAACTAAACACATGTCAAAGAATTGATTGCATATGCTAGAGGTCAAGTCTTTCTATCCCTTAACTTCCATGACAGTTTACAGGCAATTGCACACTATGGTAGCAAATCACTGCAGTGTAAGCCACACTCTGGCAACAATAAGTACAAATTCTGCAGTCTAAGCGCTTCCCATGGACCCCATGAGACTCCTAGGAAACCACTTGGGTAGTTAGAACCGTGCACTTTCCCTTTAAAGTTTAAACTGTCAATTTAGCCGGTTATGTACACGGCTCTTTTCATTAATTCAAGGCCACCACGGCACATTTTGTGATTAGGTAATGGTTATATTTGGTTCCAAATAAGTGAATAACATTATATGACTTCGGAATGGATCTCCTATCATCACTTGATTTTTCGACACCAAATTATGGATTTTACAAAAAGACAATCCCTAATCACTAACAAAACTTATCTCCTTAATATTGTTGGCTCTCAGAATCTTTTCATTTTCCTACAAATATCAAAAAAAGTACCTTGACATTCTTAGCCCATCTCAAAATTTAAAAATTGAAGGTTGCCACATTTTGTAAGGAGTATCCCTTTTCCAAAATACCTATCATTGCAGTTTAAAATAATTTATGACAGTCTTAAAGTCTTAAAATCCTGACTCTTAGTAGCAATAGCTAAATTTGTTACTTATTGGACTGCAGAAAACAGTTCAAGCCACAATGACTGAATTCCTGTCAATGATAAATCATATAATACTACGGGAAGATACTTTAATTGACATTATAATAGAAGTTTAAGCATTGATTGAGTTGTTTCATATGCACAGATATAAACACATACAGCTTTTGATCTATTATTTTGAACAATTACTAATGCAACAACAAAAACCAAAATACAGCAAGCAAATCAACTATCATCATCAACCAACTTAGCACTATGGCTAAGATCATTCATTGACAACGTAAATACATGCTTGAGGTAATCTTATTAACTTCAAATTATCTGCATTAACAAGTGAAATTGGAGTCATTCGGTTCAACTGAGAGAGATATTTCTGACATAAACAGCTAAACACTACCATTTATTCTCAGATTACAAGGAAATAAACTTAAAACATCAATTTTATAATATTTTTTTTACAACTTGAGTCTCCTGGAAATTCTTGATTTCATAGATTAAAAAAATTATGTACCAGCAAGGGTGATTGTCAGGAAATTAAGAGAACAAACCTCCCACATACAAAGGGCTTCAGTAAATGATAATTCTCTTCTGAAAAGCACTAGCAGCATACGGAAGGCAAAATGAAGGCTTTCCGCACCTATGTGAGTTAAGTGTGAGAACATTTCTCTGTCAGTCAGTTTTAAGATTTGCCAAAGTGTTTGCAACTGCTTCATTACTCCAGTTTGTCCTTCCATTCGAAAGTTTTCTCTCTGAAGAGGTAGAGCCATAGAGTAAACACAAATTAGACAAAATACAAGCCAAATTATTATCCAAATGAGAACAAAGAAAATAAGTCAGACCGTTCGTCGAAGAAGCATCTCAAAGCACCAAAATGCATCCGCGTCATTTTCAAAAAGAACGACAAATGGAGACAGTAAATCACTCATTCCTGTACCAACAACATACATCAAAACATCAAACATCTTTTTATAAAAATATGAACCATAACACATCTTTACATTTCTCAACAAAAGTTCAGAAAAATGAGCATCAGCCCAAATACTGAGGAAAGCCCTTAACCTTGGCAGTATCCTGTCTCAGGATCAACCCATGCGTAAACAGCAAGAATGTCAGACATCCTCGCCAAATTCTTTGGATCCTCGTAGAACTCAAGATGACTATCAGTTCTAACCACATCTACCACTGTCAACAAACATGCTCCAATTGATTAAAGCACATTAAGAAAGCATGAATGAGCACTTCAAAGAAAGAGTGAAAGAGAAAATTTAGCAAAAAAAAATTCCATTACCTATTCTATGCAGAGTCCAGAGCCATTCAGATACTTTATCTTCACTAGGTTCAGCTTCTTCGCATTTGCTTGAATAAAGCTCTGCTGTTTCTGGCACATCAGATATTCTCAATTTGTTCAGTACTTTATTTTTGTACTTTTGGATATCCTGTCTCAACACTTGCTCGTGAGGAGTATCACAGTGGCCATCAGCCATCTCAATTTCGGAACTGATAGACTGTCGAACACTATCAGATCGTGAGCCATTTGATTCAATAACTAATTCATCATTATTATCAATCTGAAAACTGTGCATGCTTTGATTGCCAACTCTTTTCCATGGTGTAGAATGTCCATCATCATGTGATTCATTTGCTTGATCACTTTCATCGCTCTTCTCAAATAAATCTGTGACCGGTAAGGCAGGAAAATCATAATATTCATCAACTGGAAATTGAGGTTCATTAGTTTGCCTCCTAGGTCTCAAGGAACTGCAATTGAATTTTACAGGGCTGGGAACAAGGCAAGATGAATCATAAGCAGCACTATCAATGCTTTCTCTCACACTGGCAATATCAGAAGAATCGCTAGAGCTTTCCCTTTGGCATGTATATGTTGTATCTGTACAATTATTATTCCTATCACAGTAAGCGTTAAGTTTGTTAGTATCATCTCCGGAAGCATGTCTTTCTTCAGATTCAGCTTCTCTTTTCACATCATCTTTAGAATATGCCCTCACATCCATAATTTTCGAGCCAACAACATAAGCAAGTGAGCCCGTTCCTATGCTTGAATGCATTTTTTGACATTGTCTTACAAGTTCTTCATATCGCTCCCTGCATGACAGATCATAGGAACCAAACCAAGCCAAGAGTTATTTTCCTATGCAGGTAACTCAGTAAGCAGCCAAAAGAGCTTAACAATATACCGAATATTGGTCTAAACATTTACTTCACTATCCAAAGTCCACAACAAATTTGAGAAACACGCCCTTCACATTAAAAAAAATATAAAAAAAAAAAAGGAAAAAAAGAGAGCATAAACTTGCATGTTTATCATCGCACATATCATTTGAGCGACATGCACCAATATTTAATGTCCTAGTAAGCCCCAGTGGCCCTACCATATACATCAATTTCAATGACATTTCAATCACTGACTGACTACTCATGGTTCAATAGGCACATGCAATGTCTTAGTTCAGATAACCAAATAACCAACGTTTGCATCCAAGGCGCACCAAGGTGATGGAAATTTCCCAACGCCTTAAGCATGCCTCAGTGCGCCTCATTGAAATGTCATTGAGATTGATGTGTATGGTGAGGTGCACTTAATAAAAAAATTGGGGAAAAAAAAGGGAAATACAACAAAACAAAAGTTGTGCACCTCAAGCTGCACCTAACTGAAATCGCCTAGCCTAGGCCAAAAAAGGCGAGCAATAATCATTTAAAGAAAATTTGAATGCTAGTAAAGGTGAAAAGAAATGCACCTTCTGGCTGCTCTCAGCAGATTACGGTACTCTCTGGTACTGCCCAGTGCATAACAACCAAGAAGAAATTCCCATACTTCTGACCTTATAGATGGATCCACGCCCTACAATGAAAGCCAATACGTTAACCATATAATTGGAGCTTTACATTAAGAAAAGAAGAAAACATATCAACAATTATAATAATTGTCCCAGACAGAGTACAGAAACTTTGCTCAAGACGGACACTTAGCAAACAAAAACAGTGAAGATTAGTGACAAAATGATTATGCTGAATAGTAGAATTAAAATTGATGGAGGGGACCAAATGTAAATTGACTTTATAGTGATGGATTATTGAGTTATTGATTGCAGGGTGATAGCAACTCATCTCATGAAGACCTCTCTTTCAGAAGCTGATACGCAAGATGTCAAATAAAAGAGCAATATTTTTCAAAGTAGATATAATGTGAACAAAATTTGTCTTTGTTGGTAGCAAGCGAGCTCATAAAGCTAGTAACAAAGCCTTAGAAATTTACCAAAATTAGATACAGACTGAAAAGGTTGAAAGCTGTGTGCAAAGCTTGTAAGAGCTACAAAAGTGCCTCACAGATTAAGACTTGTAATCATTATTTTTAGAGCTATGTCTCCCTAATAAGGTCCAGATTATGATATAGAATAATATATCAGTAGATTAAAAGCAACGAGAGAAGTTACAGGTGATATATTGAATGCTATGACTTCATCCATAACTTGGCGGTGTGGTCACTAAGACTTTCCCTGGTGACAGAACAACAATGTGAAGAAGCGCTAAAATGATTACTAATAATTACTATAACATCTAACCTTCCTAAAATTTTGTCCCTACTTTATGGTAGTATGTGTTGCTCAATGTCCATTAAAAAAATACGTCAATTACGCAGATGTCCTAAATTGCCAACATAAATAAAGAGCTTTTTGTCGCCTACATTTATTGAGAACCTGTGTACTAGTAAAAATTTAGACTTATATAGAGTACATATCATTGAAAACATCCATACATGTGTCCATCTAAAAGCAAACTTTCCATAATAAGAAGCAAAAATTGAGGATGTAAGAATATTGGAATATTTGTGGATTTGCACATTAAATGCTTACAAAGACGATGAATAATTAAGAATCAATAATATATGGATCAAAATTATACCTATATATATATATATATATATATATATATATATATATATATATATATATATATATATATATATATATATATATATATATATATATATATAACAAATTCCACAATTGCAGAATGCTAAGCTGGTATTGACATGCTGAATGAATCTTCTCAAAAGTATGGAAAACTTAAAATAGTAGTAAAACCCACCCCTAAGATAATCAACTTCAAAGCTTTTTGAAAACCTAGAGCCTTGCCTTCACTATCAAAAACTGCCTGCCACTTATCAGGCTTCAGCATTTTGTTTACCTGCAATGTCAGAAAATCAGAAAGAGTGAGCATCTTCATATTTCAGTTATAGAGTACCATCAAATCAACCAGCAATAAATCTACAATTTCAGGAAAGCTAAAAGAATTTCAATTGTGATACATATATAATCCACCAGGACTAAGATATATATTTTTCTCATCCATCCCCATGTAAGCTAGAAATATCAAATAATCATTTAAAATAATTTATACAGAATATACATGGTAAGAAAATCACAGTATCCTCTATCTTTGTCGATGCAGAGAGAGAGAGAAAACCAAGCCTATCCAACTAGACAAGCAAGTGCTGTACATAATAAAAATGTGCACATCAGCTTCTGTAGGGTCAATCACCAAGCACACAAAAATTAACAATAACACCCGACTATGAATTTTATCAATGGAAGGGGATGAGGGTAGTCTAGATGTGCGCAACCTATATTCACATCCACCCGGGGGGAGGGGGGGTAGGGGAGTGTCACTAGAAGTATTGGGCTGGAAGTATGGTATGATATCGCTTGAAAGATTATTTGAATGAAGTGTTCGCAAATATCATAACTTGCCATGATGTTTACAATCTTTTACCCTACTACAATCCCTTTATCTGTTGCCTCAATGAGTTAGCAAAACATACGTCAAACTACTAATCCGAACAAATTGGAACAGTGATCTCAATCCATTTCTTCCTCACTCTCCGATCATGATTCTATGCATGCCTTTCTACTGGCATCTGGATCAAATTCATCCAGAAATTTATGTTTTTCTTTCAGGTTACCATGCCAAATCACAACTATAAATAGATGAATGAACAGATTCAAAGTACATTCTAAATATCTTGAAGCCCCATTCTCAGGGCAAGAGACTAAATAGCCAATCAGAGAGTATGGGCGGTCTTATAAGAAAAACCGCTTTATTTATCGGGAACAAACAATAAACAAAAGGAGGGAAGTGGGAGGACTAGAAAACCAACAAGGAAGAAACTAGAACTACAACCATTTTGAAAACTAATAAGAACACAGCTAGAAAAAGAATTGGAGACACCTAGAGAACTTATTTCCAATATATTCTATCACGCTTCTCCAAAGACAAATCCCAAAAGTTATCCATAGAAGCATAAATCCACTATAAAATCGTGTTTGTTATGAAGTAAGAGCCTGGTAGCCACATGAAATCAACGCGGGGAGATATGGATGGTATGTAATTTACAGTTAATAAATACAAATTGTAATAAAAATAGCAAGTCAAGGATAATCCTCCAATGACGGAACATATACTTTAAATTGACATGATAAGGTAACATAAATCTGATCCTAGAACATACCATAGGCAGAAGCATCCTGGAAAGAAATGCTGATGGTAAGTTGCGGTATGGTATAGTACAAACAACAAAGCGTAACGAGATTCGCAAGACAGAACTCACTCCCTAATTCAGGAACTTAGCGTGTGGTGCAAGTTTTAATATAAAGGTTTCAATGAGAAAAGGGGGAGGGGGCGACGACAACTCCTAAAAAATGTCTTACAGTCACCATAACCTTGATAGGCGAATGATGAAGGCAAGGATCCCCTATGTCGCAAACGATAGAAGTGATAGAACCCATTCTCTGATTATTCGCACCTGGTTTTCCACAACCCCATTGCTTGACAAGGCTATCAACAGACATCACCTAATTACACTTCTCAACTTCTCTCCACCTACATGTTTGACAAGATTAAACATATGCAACTCAATTAGATAAATTAACAACAAAACTGCCAGTACAAAAATGTTAGCAGAAATAAGGAAAAACAGAAATTTTAACCCAAAATAGATTATTTAGTGCCAACTCTTAAATGCCAACCTAATTTCTAGATCATCTGTTACTTTAGCAAGATACTCCTATCATTTTCCATCTAAGCATACCCATTTATAAAAAATAAAAAATTTAAAAAATTCCAACAAAATAATTAGTAAATGGTCATTTTCCTCTATTATTATTATTTTTTTTAATAAATAAGAATATTCCAATAATAAAATAATAATAATTTTCCAATAATAATATGGAATAATTATTATTTTCTACTAATATTAAAAATAAAAATCACCAAAATAATCAGTACACCATCCATGCTCATCATCCTATTTAATTTATACAGAGTACATAAATTTTTAAAAATTAAAAAAGAGAAAACACGCTATCCCACTCCTTTTACGGGATGAAATTGTGCTAAAATCAGTCAAAATTAACATTTTTTATACATTTTATACCATAAAAACTACCCAATTCTCTCAAAAATCACCAATTCCTTACAAATCAAAACACAACCCAGAAAAATTAACGAAATTTTGAATACTGGGTTTTAAAAAACAGCATTGCAAAATCACCAGTTGATGATCATATCAATCAATCTAAAAACAGTAAACTAATAACAAAAAAAATTAAATCTAACAAAAAAAAATTAAAATCAAGAGTAAAATGCAGAAGAAATAACCTGAGATAAGATGGCGAAGATTGCAAAGAATAACGGAGATCGGTTGACGAGCTCCGTCGCCATCTACACACAACACACCTACAAGAACACCCTCAGACCGTTTCTCTCTCCTAACACCTGAATTTTTTTATGTTTTTTTTATTGTTTTTTTAAGTCATGTTTTAGAGGGTTTTTCTTTTATGATTTTATTTTTTATTTACAAAAAAATAACGGTTTGACAAAATGGGGCTATGAATTCTTTCAAAAAAAAAATGGGAAATGAATTATGATGGATGTTCTTGTAATGTCAATTGGAGACCAATTTATAGTAGGTAAGAAGATTGCATGATGAGCATTTTTTTTTATTGGGGAAATTTGCGTCGATTTTAATTAAATTAAATCAATTTTCGCCATAGTACTATGATGGGTTTAACACTTTGGCTACTAAAATTTATTTTGAAATATATATAATAGATTTGATCACTCTATAAATTATAACGTAAAAGTCATAGGGTAAGTTCGTTAATGGTACGTAATATGAAGTATGAAGCATGGCATGCTAATTTCTAACCTTAAACATTGATTTGACTTTTTAATATATTTTTTAATTAATCATGCATATCTTACATACGTAAAAAGTAAGTTACTGATTATTTTCCAATGAAACTTATTTTTAAAACGTATAAAATTAAAATAGTTGCAATTTTTTTAGGGGACATAACCTAGGTTTTTTATATATAGATATTTATAAGCGAAAGTTAAAAAATTTACTTATGACATTCGCGTCTAAGAAGATTTATTAATCAATAAAAAACGAGTGCTTTAATTACTATTATTATTATTTTTTTTAGAGTTAGTGGATATTTTTGTTGATCCATTTGGATATATTTCCTAATTTTGTTTGTAAATAAATTCATTTTCATGTATCAAATATGATTTCTTACCATATATTATTAATTTATTATATTGTTTTCACATGTAACTTAACTATTGTAACTTTATCCTATTTAAAAAAAAACAAATATTTTAACTTTAAGGATTCTTTGTCAGCAACTAATCCCTCCAAACTTATATATTCCTGATAATTTGACTGACTCAAATGTTAATATACAAATTTGACTTTTAATGTATGCAATTATGTATTTTGTATTAAATAATTATGAAAATATAATGTTTAAAAATATACATTGTGACTAATTAATAACAACATACTCTCTCTTTCCCTTTTTTTTGCCCCATTTTACTTTTCATGGTTTTCAAGACGCGTTATCAAACCATAGACGGATCTAGGGGCGGGGCGGCCTACCCCATGAACAAAAACTTATCGCAAATAAATACTATATTGCTGCACTAAATGCCATAAAATTGTGTGTGCTAAGTTGGTTGTCACTAGATTGCCCAAACACTCAAATGAAACTAGTGGTTCCATGTTAAATTCTTGTTGGCAACATTTTTTTTGTTGTTCTTTCTTTTAAATTTATAAAAACCTATAGTGTACGACCCGCCCAATAAAATAATCCTAATTCCTTCTTTCCATCAAACGTATATATCTCCATTTCTATATGTGTTAAAATTATAAAAACTTGATATTTATAAAATATACAATGAAACAATTCTAAGAAGATCCCACTTGAATACATTATTTGTAACACCCCAATAATTATCCCTATTTCCAAACCACATACTTCAAATAAAATAGAGGAGAACTATTGACATGTTACCGCCACGTGTTAAAACGTTACGGCTTTATCAGAATATCGAAGCGGAAAAACTAAACATAAGTCCTTAAAATAATATAGTAAAGAAAACCAATAAGTCAATGGTTACAAACTGGAACCATAAAGGCCCTTATTTAAAACCAAATCAATATTCAAAACTCAAATCATAAATGAAAGCGTAAAATATAAATAAGTTCAACACAAGGAACGGATACTCTCAATTACGCCAAGCCCTTGACAATGCATTTGTCAAATCCCCGAACTTTACATCATCAAGCTAACCTGTGCAATACTGCTCCCCAATAATACAATTCAAGTGTAATAATTGGATCATCACAGGGTTATTGAAAAGCGAAGGCATGACAAAAAAAAATACATACAAAAGCACGCAATCAGCAAAGTTGAGTACATACAAGCTACAACGCACCAACCTAGCATGCTCAACTAATTAAAGTAAATAATAAAAATATTACATCACAAATTCATTAAACAAGACTCCTGACTTAAATAATTCAATCAACTCAACATACTTACTAACCAATTCCAATCACTTGACTCATTATATTTAATTTAATTAATTGGAGTACGTAAGCAATAGACGAGGTTGTCCAACCCACCAAATCATTTTGGTCTCAAATGACCATTTAAAATAAAAATATAGCGCGATGCAAGAATGGGCGCGACTCCATTCTCACAAAGTTAGTTTAGGATTCCATCTAACTTTTATTATAAAATAAAATGTAAATACCAAAAGAAAAGAGGACATGTTGATCAAACAAGCCTCAGAAAGCCACGGGCTACCACCGTGTACCCCAACCCACAATTGTCAATACTCTAGAAGTGCACCCTTTCCAGAGTTTTATTGCTCATCCATGTTTCACTTTACGTGATTACAAGTTTAATTAATAGCCGACTCATTCAAGTAAACCATACATAATAATCATACATATAATTCACTTTTAATCTTATTTAGGACAACGGTGATCACATCACAAATTGACCTAAAATTCCTTTAAATTCCAAAATATCCAAAATTGTTGAACACAGTCAACCCACCTAGCTATTTCGGCTTAATCCACCTTTACTCAACATACTAACAAGTCATGCTTGAGTAATAAATAAAATAATAATAACCTCATGGAATACTTAGTAAATTCATTACACTTAAACCATTAAATTCCAATCCTTCAATAATCCAAATGTGGTTATCAATCCAATCCAATAAAATATGCTTGTATCAACAATCCATACAAACAATTAATCCAATATAATTCAACATTCTTGCATCCATAATTCCATACAAACATAATCAATTCACCAAAACATGTCTCGTAAACATAAGCACTTGCATTAATTCAATGTTTAACCAAACAATTTCCATCCAAAAGTTCTCTAAACATGAAACTAATTTCATTCCTTTTGGTACCTAAACATGATACTACTTATAACGAAGTAGACATGTACGTACCTAGTATAAACAATCATTTGTGACACTTTTAATCACTTAAAAGTCTCCTAGGGAATAATCACCTCCTAGAAAACAATACACAATCACAAATTAATTCCCAAACTAATTTCTAGCAATATAAATTTGATTAAAACTCCCTTTAAAACATGTTTTTATGCTTAATCAATCATTAAAAATTCAATAGGATCAAAAGCCCCAATTTAATTGCTCTTTAGAACCCTAAAATCCCAATTTCAATAAATTAAAACCCGAAGTTTTATAATTACAAAATCTGAAAATTAAAACTAACATTATAATCTGAATAGTTTAAAACATCAAAAACATGATTTTGATACTAAATAAACTAATTTCAAACAATCAAAATAAAAACCCAAAATTAATTACATAAACACTAAGGAAATAATAGGAAACAAAGGAGGAAGAAGGGGAAAGCGGGCTGCCGGCTGTGGGAAGCGTCGCCGGTGGTCCGGCGGTCAGGTGCCAGGTGGCTGGCAGTAGATTATGGGAGGCAGTGAAAAGCAACTCACGTAGGAAGGAGGAAAGAAAAATAAAGGAAAAAAAATAGAAAAAATAAAGGAAAAAAAATAAAAGAAAAATAATGAGAAAATAAAATCATATGTCACTAATAAATAAACCGGGTCTCGCAGCCGGGACAGCGACACTTGGCATCTCAGTTTTTCGCCAAGTGTCGTGCCACGTAGACGACAAATAGGTATTATTGTGACACATATGATGCTAAGTAAGCGAGTTTTGGATAGATTATTTAAGATAAAAATGTTGCATAGACTTTTATTATCGATAAACTACTAATATTTCATATATGCAAAATTAATCATAACTTTTAATAAATATCTAATAACTCGGTTCTATTTCCATCATAAAATTCGTTTTAAAAAGCTCTTTAAAATAATATCCATTTATAGTATACTATCTTTTTATTTTAAAAAAAGTCGAGAATCAGTTAAAAAAAAAAGGTTTTAATTAGTAAAAATAATTTTAGTTTAGTAAAAATACTTTCATTTTATTAAAAATAATTTAAGTATGATATCGCATGTCTAAATATCCTGCAATATCAAAATGGATCGGATTATATGACCGTATTTAACATTCAAGCCAAAAAGTTTATCCTAAAATTCAATAAATAATCTGGCCAGGGCACAAAACTAGTAAAGAAAATAAAGGGAAAAGAAATAAAGACTAACCTTTTTATGCGGGGGGAAATTTGGGGATTCATAGGGTATTTATAGGAGAGAGTTGTAGGGTAAAATTAGGCATCATGAAAATAGTGGGTTAATTAAATAAATAACAATGGACTAGGCTTGTTTGTAATTTGTATGGGCATAAATTATAGAATGAAGGTTCATAAAATAATTTGTGCTAAAATAATTATTGACTCAAATTAATAATTGAAACTTTTGAAATTAAATTTTAAAAAAGATACAAATAAATATTATAAATAAAATAAAATTTCATTTATAAAATATTTAAAAATACGGGGGATTACATTATCAATTATAGATTAACGAGAATTCATGGTCAGTTTTAAAAGTTTAACCCATATATTTGCAATTAGGGATGTCAATGGGCGGGGCGGATTTTGGCTTTCCCATCCCTATCCCCATCTCCGCCTAACATTCTCATCCCCATCCCTATCACCGCGGCGGATCCAAAACTCATCCTCATCCCCACCCCGCCAGGTCCAACTCTAAAACCATCCCCGCCTCACTTGGATATTCACCCCCACCTAATCCCCACCCACGACCCGCTTAATCCTCGCCTCCTAAATACAACAACACTATATAATTTAGATTACAATAAAAAAAATTAAAAAAAAAACATTGTTTATATTATACTTTTTTAATTTTTATTTATTTATATAATATAAGTATATTTGTATTATATTTACTACTTCATTTTACATAATTATTTTATATGAAATAGTATAAAAGTATACAATTATTTTTTTTAAATATATAGATGGGTATGGGATGAGGATGGGACGGGTGGGGCGGAGCGGGGATAGGGCGGGTACAACCTAAAATCCACCCCCGCCCCATCACCTATGGCAGGTATGGTTTTTATCCCCATCCCCGCCACACCACCCGCCAAACCGAGACCCATCCCCGCCCCACTGCCATCCCTATTTGCAATGGGGCAAAAAAAATAAGGGACATAGGGAGTATTTCATAAAAATAGTTGATTTTTACATAATAGAAAAAAGATATATAATCAAAGTTAATATATGAATAATGTCAAAGTTAAACTGTTATGAGTATTCAATAAAAGCGCATGAGATATCTTTTGAGTTTCAACTTTTGCGAACAACTACCTTTTTAATTTTTGCAAACAACTACATGTTCTATTCACCTTAAATTCTTAAAACAATAATACTCAGCAAATATAATTTAAATTCAGGAGAACTAATATAATAGAAAATCGATAAAAATAATTTAAGTTTTTTTTTGTTAATTTAAGGTCCTGTTTGGCGGTAGTGTTTTAGATAGCGATAGCGTTTGGACCAAGTTAAAACACTAGTAGGAAAAAATTAATTGACAACTACCAGCTACTTTAACTGCTACCTTCTACTCGATCGCTAAAAGCTACTTGCTACCTCTAGTTTTGCCAAACAGGACCTAAGTTCAACAAAATAATTTAATTTCAGTATAAAAAAAAATTTAAGTTCAATAAAAAATATTTCATTTCACATAATTAATTGAAGTTCAATAAATATCTAGTGAGGGAATAAAGCATTACTCTGTCTTAGAGTTTTACCTAACAGTGAGCGTCTCACCTAAAAATAATTTCTAGGCAAATTGAACTTTTAGGCCCTGTTTACTTCATCTAATTTTTGTCAAACTTAAATTTTATTAAATGAAAGTAAATTATTTTTGCTAAACTTAAATTATGTTTTCCACTAAACTTAGAATATTATGTTTACCCATTAAAACTCATTTATATTGATTCTCTATTATATTTGTTAAATGTTATACGTAGTAGAACTTAATTTATATTTTTTGAAATGAGAAGAGTAATTCTAGCTGCAAAAATTGAATCATTTTATCATTATTTTTTTTTATCAAATTGTCCAATTTGTGTATTTAGTAATATAGTTTCTAGAAGAAAATACAAATAAACTTTTATTCACGGATTTTGTCAAATTCATTGACATTATATTCTTAATACGTAGTATATAAAAAAAATAAACAATATTACACTTTCTTAAAAGTATTATCTTTCCATATTAGCTAATCGCATATAAATCTAAAAAAGGTACGACGTTATTTCTCATTTATACGTATAGTTGACAAAGACAAATTATGTTTAAACAATTTCGTAAAAAAAAGTACTTCATAAAAAAAAGTTATTAAAAATACATAATGACACACAAAAGATAACAAGTGTCATTGCTAGTTTATCTTTTTTTAGGGTTTGTTCACTAAAGGATATTTATTAAGAAAGGTTAAGGAATTGATTTAGTTTGATGGGAAGGAAATAATTTAGTTTAAAAACGCATGTCAATTCCTAATATTGCAAATATAGGCGTACCATTAATATTTTTCACTTTCATAATTCTACTTGCATAAAATATTATGCAAATGACCCATGTGACAAGGAAAAAATGATGTGAATACAAATTTCATACTCGGGTGTAACACCCCAATAATTCCCCTATTTTCAAACCACTTACTTCAAATAAAATAGAGGAGAACTATTGACATGTTACCGCCACGTGTTAAAACGTTAATGCTTTATCAGAATATCGCAGCGGAAAAACCAAACTTAAGTCCTTAAAATAATATAGTACAACCAATAAGTCAAAGGTTACAAACTTGAACCATAAAGGCCCTTATTTAAAACCAAATCAATATTCAAAACCCAAATCATAAATGAAAGAGTAAAGCATAAATAAGTTCAACACAAGGAACGAATACTCTTAATCACACCAAGCCCTTGACAATGCATTTGTCAAATCCCCGAACTTCACATCATCAAGCTAACCTGTGCAATACTCGTATAAACAATCTTTTGTCACTCTTAATCACTTAAAAGTCCCTTAAAAAAATCACTTAAAAGACTCATAGGGAATAATCACCTCCTCATTAAATAACTCAGGGTATCTCTTTCTCATATCATCCTCGGCCTCCCAAATAGCCTCCTCATACTCTTGGTTTGACCAAAGAACTTTAACAATTCTTACATCCTTATTGCGTGTACTACGCATCTTATGATCCAAAATTTTCACATGTCTTTCCTTATAGGTCAAAGTCTCATCTAATTGAATTGATTCAGGTTGTAGCACGTGCTTTGAATAAGGAACATACTTTTTCAATTGAGAGATATGAAACACATCATGCATTTTCTCAAATTCCATAGGTAATGCCAATTTGTAAGCAACCTTGCCTACATGCTCCAAAATTTCATAAGGACCTACATACTTGGCATTCAATTTGCCCTTTTTTTCAAATCTCATCACTCCTTTTGTAGGTGAGACCTTCAAAAAGACTTTATCACCCACATTAAACTCATCATCTCGCCTTTTAAAATCGGCATAGCTTTTCTGCCTATCTTGTGGAGCTTGAATTCTCGAGCGAATCAACTTCACTTTATTCACCATTTCCTCAATATACTCTGTTCCTAAGATAAGATTCTCACTGTAGTCATTCCAACATACATGACTTCTACACTTTCGACCATATAATGCTTCAAAAGGTGCCATGCTAATGCTAGCATGGTAGCTATTATTGTAAGAAAACTCAATCAAATCCAAATGTTGATCTTCCCAAGTACCTTAAAAATCCAAGGCATACACACCCTTAGAATATCTTCCATGGTTTGATAGGTCCTTTATGTCTGTCCATCCGTTGCTGGGTGGAACGCAATACTCATTTTCAGTGTTGTTCCCGAGTTGGCTTGAACCTTTTGCCAAAATTTGGACATGAACCTTGAATCTCGATCGGAGATTATGTCCTTAGGCACTCCATGTAGTCGAACTACATTCTTCACATAGACCTTTGCCAATTGTTTCTTCTTCTAAGTTCCCTTTATTGGAATAAACACCACAGACTTTGTAAGCTAGTATACAATCACCTAAATAGTGTCATTGCCACTCTTGGTTCTAGGCAATCCTGTGACAAAATCCATGGATATCGAATCCCATTTCCAACTTGGAATCTCTAAAGGTTGAACCTTTTCCATAGGTCTCTTGTGATCAATCTTGACCTTTTGACAAGTCAAGCATTTACTCACAAACTCAGCTACTTCTCTCTTCATGTTTGGCCACCAATACAACTCTTTCAAATCCTTGTATAACTTGTCCCCTCCTGGGTGTACAGAATATGGAGTATTGTGGCTTTCTTCCATGATTTTTCTCTTTAAATCCTCACACTTTTCTGGTATGCATACATAATTGACTTTATGTAACATGTACTTGGTAACACTTCTTGAAATGCAAAATATTAGATTAATAAGTAACACTTTGGTAATACTTTACTAGAATGTAACACTTAATGTAACACTTTTAACATAAGTAACACTTTGATAGAAGGTAGCACTTAGTTGTAAGTCTTGTATCACTTTTTTTTTTGGAAGAAACACAATCCTTTTTTTTTTTTATTATCAAATATTTTTATTAAAATCAACCCTTACAGTAACAGCCTCACAACTTTCTTCATCCCTCGTATTTCTCCATCCCCATGGGCGGATCTAGCGTGGGTTCATTGAACCCACTGAATTTTTGAAAAAAATTAAAAAGTTTTTTGTTTGTTAAAAAAAAAAAAAAAAAAAAAAAAAGTGAAATAGGTTTAAATAGAATATTTGTGTATCAAATGGCAACAAGTGAAGCTGTAGCCCAGTGATATTTTTCACTTCCCATCACACAAGAGTTGTGGGTTCAAAACCCATAACTCACACTTTTTTTTTTCTTTTTGTTCCTGTTTTCGTCAAAACTTAGAATGCTTACTGGCTTCCCTCTTCCTCATTCCCCCAAATTGCAAACCCTAACTTATTCCTCCTTCTCTTCCCGACTTCCCGTGTTCCAGAGTACCGGACTTCCGGCTGTTCGCACTCCGCCACATCCGAGCAACGCAGCCTCGCAGAGCCCCTCAGTCTGGTAGTGCCGTACAGCCGTAGGGGAGGTAAGGGATTAAGTGAATTTGGGGATTTTTTTGCTAATGTAATTTACTCTCAATTTGTGGATTTTTTTTGCTAAATCGTTAATTTCATATGCTAATATAGTAATATACATTACGAATTTACTTCTCAAGTTCTCAATTTGGGGATTTTTTTTGCTAAATCGTTAATTTCATATTTTCATATGCTAATATAGTAATATACATTACGAATTTACTTCTCAAGTTCTCAATTTGGGGATTTTTTTTGCTAAATCGTTAATTTCATATTTTCATATGCTAATATAGTAATATACATTACGAATTTACTTCTCAAGTTCTCAATTTGGGGATTTGTTTTGCTAAATTGTAGAATTCCATATGCTATTTGACCGTATATTTGACTAATTTGAGTATTTGAGCCGTAATGCCGTATAATAGTATAATTTCTGCTTAATTTATACTGATTTATTACTTGATTATTTCTGATATTCTTTTTCATTGATAATTTGATATTGTCATATTGATTATTGAATTTATCATTCATTCATTGATTTCATTCTGCAATCTGCATTTATCATGTGTGAGTAGGACTGTAGCAGACTAGTAGTATATGCCATTATACCATGAGTTTAGAGTCATTTTGGAAACGTGTCGGGAAGTCACAAAAGTCTTCAACTTGTTCTTCACCTAGTTAATTACAATTTCAAACTTCCGAAGTTTCGAACCCACACTTCAAAAATCCTGGAGACGCCACTGTCCATCCCAAGCTTTTTCGTTTGATTTCTTCTCCTTCCTCCTCTCATTCGCTCAATTTGTCGTTCTTTCTCCTTTCTCCCTCCCTCCCTCTCTCTTCTCAAAGATGAAAGTGTAGCCGCAGAAGATCACATCCACAACTATAAAAAAAAAAAATGGCAGAAGATCACGAACTAGATGAGAGAAAAGATGGAATAGTGGTTGTGTTCGATACTCCGATTTTAAGCTCAATTTCGCCTATCAAACCCTAATTTATCTCATGAAACTAAAACACTTTCAGGTTTTTCTTCTTTCCCGTTTCAATTTCATGTTTAATTGCCATAATTTTGATTATAATAGTTGATTTTTTTAAATTAGGGTTTCAAGCTCAACAAACTATTAGTATAGATGACGCAAGTGTGAAAATATAGAGAATGGCAGGAAGCATAAGTTTACCGTCACGAATACTCTCCTTTTTTGTGGGCAGCGATCGTTAAATCCGCCCTTTGCAACACCCTTTTTCGCTCTTGTCCAGGTCCCTCTTTCTCTCTCTCTTACACTTTGTCTTTTGCTTTCATTGTATATTGCTCAACTAAATTACTGATTCACCACTTTAGTACTTCTATTTCAACTTTAATTTGATTTCTTTTACTGTTTGTGCTTAATTGTTGATTGGATTAGTTTAATATGTAGTATTCTCTATGTATATTGCAAAAATATGATTGTTAAATTAATTTTTGATTGTAAATGGAAAATGAAGCCTATTAGTTTTAATTTAATGGAGTTGTAGGGTGTTAATTACAATCTGACAACGTATTTTGTTAGTTATGTATACAAATATTGATGTTGAATTGGTTATTGGATGTAGATTGCAGAGTATATCTTGAGATATGGCAATTTGTGAGTTTGGGGATATGGTCTTAGGTTTGAGGAGTTTGACCATAGGTTTGAGGAGTTTGAAGAGAAAATCGCACTGCTTTCACAATGATAAATCAACTTGAGTACTTACGAGTTTGCAAAGTCGTGGTTAAAAGTTTGGAAACTAATATATTCTTATTTATACAATGATTTTATTGATTTAGATACTCTACTGCACTTTGTCATAATTGTTAAATTCATCTTTTATCAGATAAATGTTAGGAAAACTAGATTAATGAAGAACAATTTGAATTGTTTTCAATGTCAGGTACACCAGTCCTACAGACAACATATTATCTCCTATATCTAAAGGTCTTCTTGCTCAAAAAAGCCAAAGAGGCGGCGCACTCTTGCCACCCTCCATCATTCAGTCTAAGGTACGTTACATCATTCCTTAATTTTATTCTACTGTGGTAACTCTATTGTACATGTTACATGTCAAATTTATATGACCACTTGCCCATTTTTTGAAATTTCGTACTAGAATGTATGATTTAATCAATTTTCTTGCTGGAAGATTCAAGAACTGCGATCTCCAGATGTAGAGCAGTATCAATTGAACATGAAACAATAAATTTATCGAGGTATCAAAGGATCGAAACACTCTGTTGTTCGAGTTTGGGGCCTGTTGAAAAATTACCTGTACAAGCATTGTATTTGTACAGAGTGACATTTAACTATATTAGGTTCTAGACTTGTGGTTGAAACAAGCAAGTTTTAGTAGACTGCTTTGTAAGTTGATTTGAGAGTGGTGAGACTTGTGAAGGAATGGGCTTCCTGCTATTAACGTTTCCATAGTTGAATATCCATATTTTTTTTGTGGTGTCAATATATATGACAGTCCTTAATGATTTCTATTTTTTTTTTCCTATTGTTGTGCATTATTTAGATCTAAATTTTAAAATGATTAGGAAAGGGTTGTTATAAGTTATAATATTGTCTATTCTTCCAGCTTATAAGCTGTAATATTAAGTTGTTTCCTTATAGCTGACTTCTTTAGCAAGTATATGTCCTTAGGTTTTGATGCTTTCTTGATGCTTCTACTGCTCTTACCTGTTGCTGTTGTTGCTGTTCCGCTTATGTGCTCCTGTTGTTCTGCATATGTGCTCCTGCTGTTCTGCATATGTGCTGCTGCTGTTCTGCTTTTGTGCTGCTGCTGCTGCTGCTGTTCTGTTTCCGAGCTGCTGCTGTTCTGTTTTCGAGCTGCTGCTTTTCTTTTTCCAAGCTCTTGTTGTTCTGTTTCCAAGTTGCTGCTGTTTTGTATATTGTAATTTTTTTTTGTATAAAATTGTAATATTACAAGCATTTATTAATAAAAATATCTAAGTTTATATATATAATGGTTTATCAATTTTACTTTTATTTAGGCATAAAAGGCACCGATTCAAGGGAAAATCGGTGCCCTTAATTTATGTTAAGGGCACTAGTTTGAACCGGTGCCCTAAGTCGGCTTTGAACTAGTGCCGATTACACTTTTTCTACTAGTGAATAATAATAATAATAATAATAATAATAATAATAATAAAATAATAATAATAATAATAATAATAATAATAATAATAATAATAATAATAATAATAATAATAATAATAATAATAATAATAATAATAATAATAATAATAATAATAATAATAATAAATAATAATAATAATAATAATAATAATAATAATAATAATAATAATAATAATAATAATAATAATAATAATAATAATAATAATTACTATTACCAATTGATTAATAAGGTGCTACATTAGTTTGCAAAAAGTGATACATAATATTGAATATGGTGATACTATATGTCAAATGATGATTGAAAAATGTTACCTAATAATCAACGAGGTGTTACATTAGTTCGTAAAAGTGATACACAATGTCAGATAAGGTGTTACTAAATGATTGAAAAATGATACTAAAGATAAGTAAGTGTTACCTAAGAAATAAAAAGTAACACTTTAAAAGTGATACCTATAATATAAAAAACTGTTACATAAGAGAGTTTATAGTAACACTTTAAAAAGTGTTACTATACTTTACCCAAAGTGTTACATGAGACCTTAGGTAACATGGGCGGATGTATCACCCACTAAAGTGTTACCTATTGTCTATAATAACACTTCTATCACTTTATGTAACACTTTATAGTTGTTACTTAAGGTTAGTTTTGCACTAGTGGCACCACCTTTCTTTGTAACTCAAACTTCCATCATCATGGATCTTGAAATCTACATTTTTCCCTTGGCTCATTTTCTCCTTAATTGATTGGATTCTTTCATCACCTTTCTGACTCTCTTTTATTTTATCCAACAATAAACTCCCACGTAAAAGAGCACTCAACATTGCCTCTAGTTCACCATAGTTCACAACCTCCAAGTTCAAACGCTTCATATATTCACATAACTTGTCAAGCACAATTAAAGCCTTCACACCATGACTTGATTTCCTACTTAAGGCATCCGCAACAACATTTGCTTTCCCTTCATGGTACTGTATGCTTACGTCATAGTCATTGAACAACTCCAACCAACGCCTCTGTCTCATATTGAGATTTGTCTGAGAGAAAATATACTTGAGACTTTTGTGATCCGTAAAGATCTTACACCTTACCCCATACAAATAATGCCTCCAAATCTTCAATAAAAACACTATAACCGCAAGCTCAAGATCATGTGTAGGGTAATTAACTTCATAAGGTTTGACTTGGCGAGAAGCATACGCTATCACCTTCCCATTTTGTTGCAACACACACCCTAATCCATTCTTCGAAGCATCAATATAGACTTCAAATCTATTGCTTCCATTAGGTAAGGCTAAAACAGGCGCAGTAGTTAAACGCTCTTTAACAGTTTGAAAGGCTTGTTCACACTTCTCATCCCATTCAAACTTACTTTCCTTCTTCATCAAGGTAGTTAACGGTCTAGCAATTTTCGAAAAATCCTTCACAAACCGTCTATAATAACTGGCTAAACCTAAGAAACTCCTTATGTCAGACACATTCTTAGGTGTAGGCCACTCACTCACTGCTTGAACCTTTGCTAGATCGACAGAAACACCTTCTTTAGACACATAATGTCCCAAAAATGCAACCTTCTCTAACCAGAACTCGCACTTCAAAAACTTAGCATACAACTTGTTGTCTTTAAGAGTCCTAAGCACAGTCCTTAAATGCTCATTGTGCTCTTCCTCACTTCTCAAGTATACCAAAATATCATTAATGCAAACAACCACAAACTATCCAAATACTCATGGAATACTCGATTCATCAAATCCATAAATATTGTAGGTGCATTGGTCAACCCAAAAGACATATATGTAAACTCATAGTGCCCATATCTAGTCCTAAAAGCAGTCTTAGGTATGTCCTTATCAGCAACTCTCAGTTGATGGTACCCCGAACATAAATCAATCTTGGAAACACGCTAGCTCCCTTCAATTGATCAAACAAATAAATCATCGTTCCTGGGCAGTGGGTACTTATTCTTTATTGTCACATTATTCAATTCTCTATAGTCAATATACAGTCTCATGCTCCTATCTTTCTTCTTCACAAACAAAACTGGTGCTCCCCAAGGAGATGCACTTGGCCTAATATATCCCTTATCTAATAATTCTTGCAATTGTACTTTCAACTCCCCCATCTCAGCAGGTGCCATTCTATATGGTGCCTTAGAAATCGGTGCCGTTCTAGGAACCAAATCTATTGTCAACTCTAATTCCCTCTTTGGTGGCATACTAGAAATCTCTTCTGGAAATACATCCAAAAATTCATTCACATTTGGCACATCTTCCACATTCACCTTATTATTAATTTCCAAGTCTTGCACACAACAAAAGAACAAAGGATACCCCTTACTCACAAGTTTCGACTTCATTGCAGAAATAATCCCAATACCTTTTGGTTTTCCAAAATGTCTGTAAGACACAGTCTTTCCCAAAGGACTCCTTAAATAAACCTTTTGTACCTCACAATCAATCTTAGCTTTATAAGTGGGCAACTAATCCATTCCCAAGATAACATCAAGGTCACCCAACTTAAGTTCTATAAGATCGGATGGAAAATCAGTCTCTCCAATCCTCAAAGGTAAACCCTTATGTACCTTGGTGCACCTCACAACTTCACCAGTAGGTAAACTAATAGGCAAGTCAATCGAATTCGGCTCAACTAATTCTAACCGTTTCACAACAGAACTAGAAATAAAAGAATAGGTGGCTCCAGAATCAAACATAGCTTTAACATAAATAGAATGAATAGAAAAGTTATTAGTGACAACATCAGAAGACCTTTTAGATTCCTTCATGCTCATTACAGACACACGACCTGGAGTGAAATTCTTTCCTTGATTCCCGGAGTTGTTGTTGCCAACATTTTCGTTCTTTGCATTCCCAATATGACCATTCGAATTCCCTCCTTGATTGATTGTTGGAGTAAACTTGTTCCCACCTTGTTGCTTCAGTTTGGAGAAACACTCAAACTCCCTATGACCCTTCTTGTTATAGAACCTATACACAACCATGTTCCCATCACAATCCTTTCCAGGATGATCCTTGCCACATCTCCTACAGTTGTAATGCCTCTCAGCTTGGCCTGTAGGTCTAGAAGATCCTCCATTATTCTGAAAATTCCTATTTTGGAAATTCTCATTCCTTGGCTTCTTGTAGCTACCTTGATTACTCGAATTCCCAAAATCCTTACGCTTTTCTCCAACACTCACACTCTCAGTCGCACTCCTAACATTCAAATTGTACACGTGCGTTACTCTTCTATAAACCTTATCAAGAGTCTTAAAGGTCTTTCCAGCCAAGTCCGATCCTTTTGTAATTGCTTAGTCAAACCTTGCTCAAATCTTTAAGACTTCAACTCCTCAGTAGGTACTACTTTAGGAGCAAATCGACATGTTGTTCATTTGCAGATTAATAAACTCTTGTGCCTTTTGATTCCTTAAGAATGGTGGATAGAACTTCTCTCTAAGTTTGGTCTTGAATGTCCCCCAATCAAAATTAGCCTCAGCACGAATCACATCTCCATTATCCCTCCACCAAATATGTGCCTCTTCCTTCAAATACATGGCAGCTTGATCAACTCTCATACTCTCAAGGCAATTCAAAGCAGCAAAGATCTTATTAAACTTGTAACACCCCCAAATCTCACTCTACGGAAATACTAGTACAATACGTATAATTATACCGTAGAGATAGACTTAGGTGTATTACCGCCGCGTGACTACGCACGGCTACTCAAACTACTAACCAAAACCAATACTTGCAGCGGAAATTCAAACTCTTTCTTTATTAATAATAGTTATAAATAGAAACCATTGTCATGAGTACTCATAAATAAACAAAGACCAACATTCCTAATCTAGGTGAAGAACATCCCGGACTCCCTTACGCTCAAATATTGACTCCACCTGAAAATAGTCAACATTGCTTACCATTAAGGTAAACAGGCGAACCAAAACATATAGGAATACAGATTAGCAAAATATGTTAAGTACGATAAGTGCAAAATAAGTAAACTCAATTTATTTGCAACATGCTTTTAAAAACCAATTCCAATGTTAATCCAATAATTCCAAAACTCATAGTTTCAAAACCAATTCTCAATATTCTCAAAACAACTCCAATAACTCAATAATTCAATAAAAACGATTTATAAAACCAATTCCTCTTTTGAAAACCAATTCCTCACCAATTCCTCTTTTGAAAACCAATTTTCAATAATTCCAAAAACTCAATAACTCAATAATAATGATTAGTAAAATCAATTATTTTCGAAAACTCAATCTCCTCTCTAAGTGTGCACACCCCCCAAGCTAGTCTTTTACTATTTCAAGGCTATTCTTGAGGAAAGACTAGGTCATACAAAGTCCATAGTCTTCAATGAATCCGCATACTGGGATTAATATAATAATCATGCTTGTAAAGCTTTTTAATAAATAATTCAATAAATCCTCTTTAAATTCCTCTTTGAATAAATTCAAACTTTTCAAAAACTCCTTTTGTATTTAATTTAACAAGCTTTTAAAATCAAACCTTTTTTTTTGTTTCAAAAACTCTTTTAAAACAATCCAACATACTTATAAAAGCCAAACTCCTTTAAACATAATAATTTCAAACCATTCAAAACATAATATGAAATCAATCCTCCAATTCATTTATCAAAACCAATTTTTAAAACATGCTTTATTTCATAGATCATAATTTAATTCAATTTAATTCAATCATCATAAAAATCATATAAAACATGCTATTCAAACCAATCACTTTCGAAGGTATCTAGCCACCTAAACGTACCTTGGTTCCAAATATCAATTAACAATTCGCACTTTCAAAGTTCAATCACGAATACACCTAGTAATAATAATGAACATAACCATAAGGTTATCACAACATCTTTAGACATAAACCCAAATTCAATGTGCATGGACTATAAAACTCTTTTTAAAATAATACTTTAATATAAAATTATAGCTTGAAATAAGTATTTATATTTTAGAAAACTAACCATGAAGAAAATAAAGGAATAGGATTAAAGAGAATTGAATTTGCGTTGGAAAGAATAGGCAGAACTTGCAGAGGCTATAACTCATTCAAGATAACTTTGAATTGGGTGATTCTTGATCCTAACCTCAAGGATTTTTCAAGAGGAACAATTTTCTGTGAAATAGAAAAACCCCAAAACTGACCAGAAGTGCCTGAAAATTGGCTCCAAAGATATACGAGCTAATTTTCTTTTATAAAAGAGGAGAAGAAAAGTAGGAAAAGGTTGAGGGAAAAGAAGAGTAAAAGAGAAGAAGAGAATTGAGTTTTTGGTGTGAAGAATATGAGAGGTATGAGGGGGTATTTATAAGCTAGCTCATGTAAGAATTATGGTAGGAGAATGTAAGAAGAACTATGGTAAATTGGTTTAAGGAAATTACTTGGAGAAGAGAGCTAAAGAATTATGGATGTCTAGATTATGGTGATTAAGTAATGAAGAAATAAGGTAAGTATGTAGTCATGAAATATTAAATGGTAAATGTCTTTGCTTGGGGAATAATCAAGAATGATTTAAGGTAGGGAAATAAGATGTCAAATATTTAGGAGATGGAAAATAAAAATTAAGGAAAATAATAGAACTGAGGAAGATAGTTAAAATACAAAAACTACCAAACTAATTTTGCTCAAAATACAATATAGTGGCCGAAAATTTGAGCTTTCCTAAGCTCATATTTTCGAACCCCCCTTTAAATATTTAGGCAATTATTTTGCTAGTTTTTAAGGAATAAAAATGATTGTGTAAATAATATATTTTGTATAAAATAATTAATTAGAAAAATACCAATTATTCACTAATTAATTTAACTAAGAAAATCAGATTTTCTACACATAGATAATCCAAAAATCCTAGCTAATTAATTAGGGAAATTCGACCCTTTTAAATCAAATAAGAAAATATAAATTTTGCTCAATTAAAATATCCAAAATATATATAAATAATCCGGTTTTTAAAATAAAATAAATGGATAATAAATCTTATCCAAAAATCCATAATAATAATTGAGTTTTAAAATGTTTTTAGTGCCAAAATTCAAATATCATTTTGGCTCTAAAATTCAAATAGTAAAATAAATTACTAAAATACCATTTTTAGAAAATATTAATTAATTAGAAAATACGTTTCAAAAATACGGGTATTACAAAACTCCCTAACCTAATTCTCTAGAAAAGGGGTCTCCACCTCCCTTAAAGTATGGTGCCTTGAGTTGAGCAAGCTTCTTAAACATCTCACCAGGGGGATCAGGATTATCATTGCGGTTTTGGTTCAAGTTCTCAGCTAGTAGCCTAATGGCATTAGCTAAAACATCGTTGCTAGCCATCCTCCTTCTCTGCCTAAAAATATAACGCACTCTTAGGCCAACGTCAACACAAAAGAACTCTACTTGCTCAACACATCGCATTCATGATCATTAAATATATATATATATATATATTAAGGTAGAAAGGTGGACACGGCCACACGATTTCCCCTAATAAATCACTTTCAAAGGAAATGATTATTAAATTTCAATCATTCCTACACAGAAGAAAAATAAATAAAAGAGTTGCATTGATTCAATCCCCACCAAAATCCAAGCATTAAGTAAACAACATCATTAAATAGACATAAATTAATAGTCACATAATTACATGCTTCACATAATAATTATTTACACATATCACATAGCACAAATCATCACATATCCTTCCATATTACATTCTTTACACCTTAAACATGATACTAGATGATCACACTCAAATTGCACCATTTACGTAAAACATACAAAATTAAATAACTTGCATAATCACTTCTTAAAAGAATAAAAGCACAAAAGAATTAATTACAATGCATATAGAAAGAAAAAAAATCTATCCTATACGCCCTTCCTAATACTACCCAAATCTCACCGATAAATTAAAATAAGCACACAAGTTAAGAATAAATAAATAATCAAATTTATTTTATTTCAAAATAATTAAATAACTCGAAAATATATATATAACAAATAAATACATTTTTTTTTTGAAATGCCGAATTAAATTTATTAAAATTAAATAATTTTTGAAAATTAAATTACACTTAAAATAATGTAGTTAAATCAAACTCTCTAGATTTAAAGCGTTAGGCGCCTAAAAACTTTAAAATTGGCTTTAGTGGTAATTAAAATCTAACCTAAGCACCCAGATACCACTTGATTAAAACTCCTTATAACTTCCTTTAAAACATGTTTTTAAGCTTAATTAATCATTAGAAATACAATAGGAACAAAAACCCCAACTAAATTGCTCATTAGAACCCTAAAATCCCAATTTACATAAATTAAAACCCTAGGTTTTAGAATTCATAAAATCTGAAAATCATACCAACATTAATAATCTGAAATTTTAACTTTTATAACATCAAAATATAGTTTTGATACTAAAAACATAAACTTTATACTACAAAATCAAAACTCAAACAATTACATGTAGAAATTATACAAAATAGTAAAAATAAAAAGGAGGAAGAAGAGGGCCATGTGGGCCAGCTGCTGGGTCGGTGGTGGGTCGCTGACAGTCGATGGTGGCGACGGCAGCCGGAGTCCGGCGGGGCCGGTGGCGGCAGTTGTTGGGAAATAGTGAGCCATGCTCACGTATGAAAGGAGGGGAAAAAGAAAGAAAGAAAAAAGAAAGGAAAAAGAAAAAAAAAAAAAAGAAAAGGAATAAAAAAAAAATAAGGAGAAAGAAATAAGACTAACCTTTGATGTGGGGAAAATTTTAGGGATTCATGGGATACTTATAGGAGGGAAATTGTAGGGTAAGTAGGGTAGGATTGAGCCTCACGAAAATAATGGGCCAATTAAATAAACAAAATGGGTTAGGCTTTGTTTTTTTTATGATCATGAATTGTAGGATATAGGTTCATAGAAATCCTACTGGAGTAAAATATTTTTCCACCCAAAAATACTTTGAAACTTTTAAAATAAATTTTAAATATTAAAAATAAAATAAAAATTCATTTATAAAATATTTAAAAAATACGGGGGATTACATCGAGTTATTGATTCTCTCTTTCAACTGAAAAATTCCTCGATGCATACTCTATCTCTCTGCACTTCTCCTCCCCTTCCATTTAATTGAACGAATTCACTAAAATCATTTTATAAAATTTAGAGTGTATGCACATGTTTTCCCTTTAAACTTATATTTTAAATTTTTATAAAAAAAATTCTTTAATTGCTAACACTTTTTAAAATGTATACGACGACAACAATAATAATATTCAAAGCAAAAAATTAAATTATATACACATAGTATGTGAAAACTCACCCATATCTATATGATGAATTGAGTTATTCAAATCGAGACATAATAATATCAACACCAGCTGAAAATCAAAATCGAAATAATTGAATCAACCCCAAATTACCTAGGGTGTAATGATTTTCATCGATTTAACTCAAACTTATTTACACACAAAATGAAAATCATCCAAAACAAATTAGCCCCAAAATGGACAATCAAGAATTAACCTAAATATTTTTGCAAATGTAGGATTATTTTACTTGGTATAATATATCCTCATAACCTTTTAATATTTCTTTTTCATAACACGATGACATCTATAAAGTTCACCTTTGATCTTATACTATAATTTGATATGCATTAGTGTATATTATGTATAATAAAAACACTAAAATGAATTAGTAGAAAGATCCACATGATAATATCTTGTAAACTTTACACATTTCCTTAACTTATGCAAACTGTATTTAGTAAAAATAATTTCAATTCAGTAAATAAGTTAAGTTCAACAAAAATAAGTTTAGTTCATCATTTAAAAACAAATATAGTACTTTAGTGAATAAGCAAGAATAGTTTTAATCCGTAAAAAAATAATTTAACCTCAGCAAAAATAATTATAGTTTAATTTCATTTTAATAATTATAATTGCAGGAGGCTCATGGAGTGGCCATCCTCCCCTAAATGGCGAGGGTTCGATCCTCAATTCCTCACCCACCTCCTGTGATAGGAGGGGACCTTTCATATCTCTGATTGTTGTGATATGTAATATATTTCTCTAAAAACTTCTATATTAAAAAATTAATCTTTTAGTTGAATTGATCTTGAATCCATTTAAATTTAAAAATCACAATAACTTGGCTCGATCAAGCATACCTTCAAGCGCGTGTCGTGTTGACGGAAACACAACACACTCTTGAAGGCTACAACCCAAGAGAAAGAAAACCCAATCAGTTGAAAAAACGCGGCTACATATTTTATTTTTGACGGTCGTTGTAATATGATAATTAATCTTAATCTAATTAATTATAACGAGTATGAATCATGAATGTATGATGTTGTACGACTAGCTGTTTCTGTCTCTTCTTTCTCTCTCTTCTCCTCTTCTTTTCTTGGCGCTTTCTCTCAATCTTCTTGAGAGTCGCCAATGGCGACGACAACACAAGGAGGTGTTTTTCCCTTCTCCAATTCTCCATTTTCCATCAATTTCCTTGATTAATTGTGTTATTTTTTTGCTCTACTTTTGGTTATTGATTTCCGTTAATTTTAGGGTTTCTGTGGATGTTATGTGTTTGATTTCGAATTTTTACCTTTTCATGTCGTAATTATCGATGCGATTGATTGAATTGATTAGGGTTTTCGCTTTTAGTTACGATTTTTCTGCAACTTTGCAATTGAGTTGAGTAATTGGGTAGTTTTGGCAAGATTGATTAATTTGGGGTATTGAATATTGATCTTGGTTTTAGGAATTATTCTGTATTGCATGCCAATTTTTTGAGATTAGTGGCTCTTTGGTGTAGAATTGAAGATTTTGCTTGATCTGGATATACCTCCGTATTAGAAATTGAAGAAAAAGAAAGAGAAATTGAGGAAATTAACAAATTACGGCTGCTGTTATAAGGTGTAAAATTGTATTTTTTTTTTTTTGTTTTTTTCTATATTTTGGGATTTTATCGAGTTTTGGACAGCTTGTGCTGAATAACTGCTGATATTAAAATTTACATAATGAAAGTATGTATGGACCATAATTCAGCTTTTGCAAGGTCTTGGGATTGACTCTTGGAGTGACTAAGTTGCTGTTAAATTATCTACCTACTCCATTGCTGGGTTTAATTCAGCAAGGGGAACATTTTTTCCCCTTATTCGAGTTAATACGGTGTAATTTCACTAACGAGGCATATTGTTTCTTTCTGCAGCTAGTGGCCCTCCGCCGAAACCTTGGGAAAGATCTGGATCGTCATCTGGTCCAGCGCCATTTAGACCCCCTTCAGCTGGTACTACAAGTGATGTCGTAGAAGCTTCTGGGACTGCAAAGCCTGGAGAAATCGTTTCAACTTCTGATCGAAATAATACTGTTAACACAAATGCGGTTGGCAGGCCTCTTCCGACAAGGCCTTGGGAGAATAATATCGGAAACAGCAGTTACGGAGGTAGTTGTATTTTTTATTCATTGAGACATATAGGAGTATATCAGAACAAGAGCTTTGTTAGAAGCACTGGAGTTATGATGCTGCTACTATGCTTCTGAACCGTTTGATAAACTGTTATTTGCAGGATACAATTCTGGCATGACGTATAACTCTGGATATGGATCAGGGATGTATAATTCAATTGGTGGGGGATATGGAGGAATGAGCGGGGGTATGTACGGTAGTAGCATGTATAGAGGGGGAATTGGAGGGGGCATTGGTGGAGGATATGGTGGCGGACTTTATGGTTCTGGAATGTATGGTGGAGGAGGGATGTACAATAGTGGCTTGGGAGGAAGCATGGGTGGTTATGGAACGGGAATGGGAATGGGGATGGGTGGTCCCTTCGGACCCCAAGATCCCAATAATCCTCCTCCATCCCCTCCTGGGTTTTGGATTTCTTTTCTTCGTGTGGTAAGTATCAACCTCTTTGCATTTTTTTTTTTATAATTTTAATCTATAGATTTTCTGCATGTATATTAGACTTAATCTTGTGGACATCTGGATGTGACTTAACGGCTTTTTGATGTCATTTGTGGAAGTCATTTGAATTTCTCTATTTGACCTAGTTATTTTTAGTTCTTATTTCTCATTCACTGTGTTTATCAATGCTTAAGTTGTTAGGTTTGATCAATCTGTTAATCATTTCTTTGTGCCCCAGCTTGTTGCTTAGGATGTATATTTGTTTGTGATGCTGTGATCGTAGTGCTTTTTCTTTGGTTCAATTGTGTGCTACCTTGCCTCTCGTTTTTGGATAAGAAGACAGTCCAAATTCAGTTCCATTCTTTCATTGTTGCGCCCTTGCCTTGGCTAATCTCTTGGCTGTTTTTGGTGGGGGGGTGGGGTAGTTTAGTGGTTGCAGCAAACTAATTTTATAGTATAAGATAGTCTTACAGTGAGCTCTTGATAAATTTGAGATTATTATGGAGTCCATGGTGGTTCCCTCACCCTTTGGGATTTTTAAAGTTCAATCCTTGCTCGCTCCTTTGCCATGTTTTGTTGCAACCACTGCAGATCTCGATACAATGCCCCAAGGCTTACATTGAGAATGCTCAAAGCCGAATTCTTCACTGCTCATCTTGTATCCATTGAAGCATTACGTTAGTTCCTTGCTCAATCCAGCCTAGTCCTACCTTATTCTATACCCAACAACCTGAAAAACACGTTAATTGGAACAAAATTTGGATCTTACATAATTAGAAAGGAATCCTAGATAGGCATTTTTTGGCTGTCATATTGAGACATCACTACTCTTGTGCTTTTATCTTGCTTACTCTTGATGGCTGTGTCATATGATACTTCCACTTTTGCTAGTGTTCCAGCTGTTTTGGGGATTTTCCATTATCACTGTATATTTCCAGACCCACTCTTGATGGCTGTGTCATATGATACTTCCACTTTTGCTAGTGTTCCAGCTGTTTTGGGGATTTTCCATTATCACTGTATATTTCCAGACCCAAATTGAGCTCTTGACCAAAGTGCAGTTCTGAAATAGATGTTTAGCTGGAAGTTGGAACTTGTTGTTATCTCAGAAATAAGACTTGATTGCTAATCCACTAGTTTATAAGAATTATATTATCTAACCCCTAGTTGATTGCTAGTTGGCACCCCTTCCATATATGGTTGGTTACTGCACCACAGCACCATATCTGAAGATGTGGTCATAGGTTTATGAAGCAGCTGTCTCCCACCTTCTGACGATAACCTAATGGAAGAGCATTTTGTATCTTCAATAGACAAATCTTCCATTGCTAATTTGCAGTCATTGTCATAGTAATGTGTACTCTTGGTGGAGGCATCTATATCCAATTTTAAATGAGTAGTTTCCATCATTGGTTCAGTTCAAGATTATTGTGTCTTTATATTATGAAGGGTTGTGATGCTGAGAAATCTTTTCACCTAGTTGTTCGTTAATAGGCTTCATACGTTCGAACTATATTCTGGCTCCATGTTCCATTTCTTGAAATCAGACTATTAAACACCCGTTTATTATGTGGTCTGTCTTCTTCATTGGAGTTTCTATTGTTCATTAGTGGAGTTTGACTTCCCATCCATAGCCATGGTGGTACTTGGTTTTCACAGTTGCATCATCACCACATTTTTAGAGCACGATTTTCGCTGAAATGCATTCCAAGTATCCAGGGTATATTTTTAAGCAAAAAGATTTTAAGTTATTTTTTGCTTGAGAGGTTTTAACAAACCTCTCACACCCTTCTTGTATTATTAAGGTTAGAGCTTTTCCTCTTTTCTAGTGTTTCATGGATAGGAGGTTTGCTTCTAGGTAAAAGGCTTAGTCATTATCAATGAGGATATGCGAAATGATGAGAGCCTACTTTGCTACCTTGATGGTATTCTCCCCTCACATTTGCATCACCGTACCTGATAGTACTTATATGCACAAATATGAAAATATATGGTTTTAGTGGATCTCCTTGACAGACCCCACATGGCGGTTGACATGTTGAAAACACAATAATTGCATGGTTGGTTAATATGATTGGGTGATGAATTAATGGGTTACCCTTTGGTGTGGGAGCTTTGAAAGGTCAGCTGGAATGGGCCCGAGTTAAGTTTCCAATGGCCTGATGTTGGCGAGACAATGGACTGAGTTTGGAAGTAAATTTCTATTTTGTCAATTATGCTTCGTTTTTATGTTGGCAATATTTTTCCTTTTCATTCGTAGCATGGGGTGTTTTCCTATACATGGTATTACTCCCTCAAAGGGGTGGAGTTACTTCTTTAATCGTTGGTTGAAATGAGTTGATTAGAGAGAAAAGTGGTGGGGTTAGATGTAGTGGTTGTGAGATTATAGTTGTGGTCTCCACAACTAAAAAAGGATAAGATGAAGTTAAAGGGGTGAACTAAAAAGGAAACAACAACTTTTTGGTGGCAGGGGTTACCCGATTTATTTTGTTAGGGGTTACCCGAGTTATTCAGTTAGGGTTACTCGAGTTACTCGGTTAGGGGTTACTTGAGGGGTTGGGTTCGGACAGGGGTTCACTCGATCAAGGGTTACTTCAGGGGTTACTCGGTCAAGAGTTTCTCGAGTTACTCGGTCAAGGATTACTCGAGGGGTTACTCGAGGGGTTACTCAGTCATGGGTTACTTTAGTTACTCAGTTAGGGGTTACTCGTTAGGAGTTATTTAAAGAGTTCGATCAAGGGTTACTCCAGTAATTCGATCAAGGGTTACTTGTAAAGGTGTCAATTCGGATGTTCGGATCGGGTTTGATGAGATCGAGTCGTATCGGGTCAATTTTTAGAGTTGAGTCATGCTAAATTATTGTGTTCACACAAGTCAAAATCTAAATCGGATATTTTTCGGATCGATTTTGGATTGGGTCGGATTGGATGTGGTTTTGACACCTCTAGTTACTAGAAAGTTCAGTCAGGGGTTTTTCATTCAGGGGTTACTCGAGGGGTTCGGTCATGGATTACTTGAGGGGTTACTAGGTCAGGGGTTACTTAAAAAAAACGAGTAACCCCTGACCGAGTAACTCGAGTAACCCCGGCAACTCGAGTAACCCCTGACTGAGAAACTCGAGTGACCCCTGATCGAGAAACTCGACTAACCCTGACCGAGTAACTCCTGCCGCACGGTACAACAGGCTGCATACAAAAAATTGTGAAAAGAAAAATAGGGCAAGTATTTAGGGACAGAGGAAGTATTAGGTTTCTAGTATTCTTAGGAAAGGGTTTTAATTAATTTTAAAAAATAAATAAATAAATAAATAAATGATCTTTTAGGTAACAGGTTCACACTTCATGATGTAAGATATTTTGCAGAGCTCTTTGAATTTTCTTTCCAGCAAGCTTACGTTTTGAGCTTGTTTGACATTTAACCTGTGGTGGATTGGGCTATCATTTGGATCCATTTGATTCCGAAGTTTAGCAATGTTTTTGTTCACCTCCATTTGAGACCCGACAAAAACACCAAAACCTTAGTGTAGTATCTACAAAGTACAAACGCATCACCCTTGCTTGGGGAAGCAATGTAAGCTTAATCCTTGTCCAGCCCCTCCATGATACCTTCTTTTCCCTCTTCCATTTGTCCCGGTGAATACAATTCTTGGAAGTAGCGTTCTTGACACTTCTAAATGTGTCCATTGTTTGTTTCTTCACCTCTCTCCCTTTTTTCCATGCAAACTTCAATCGTTGGAACCTTTTGCATTCTTGGCACTTGTAAATGTGTCCACTTCAAGTTTCAGCCAATTAAAAGAATCAGTGTCAATGAGCCTATTCCTGTTGTTTTTGTTCCATCATCTTATGATCTTTGCTTCTGTCTTTTCACTTATTGAAATCTTGGACAATCTTGGAATTTAGCTTAAAGCTTTACACTAATATGGGATGATAGTTGGTTGCCTATACTCCCTTCCAGTACTGAGATTACTTGTAATACCTCTTAGGAAAGAGAATGTAATACACGTCAAACATATTGTAAATAATGGATGACAGCTTTATTGAGAGTCCAGTGCAATGCAAACAAGAATACTTTCTGAGATAGTATAAGGCTGTTGTTATTCTTTGGATGCTTATCAGTTTTACTCTTGTAAGTTGTGGAGGGTCCGTTTCTACCTATTGGCAGCTGTAGCCAATCTTTCCTCTACACAATAATTATGTATTAGTTACTTTCAATAGTGTGAAAGTTCTACACTTTATGTACGTTGAAAATAAGCAACTAATGTGGTGTGTCAATACATTATTGGCAAACTAAAGAAAAAGCTATTGTAATGTACCACAAAGTTACATGAGTCTCTTGTTCTCGGTCTTGCCCAGTACATACCCTATTTTATGCTGCATTGCCAGACTGGTGCCTTGTCCAAGTCTCAAACAAACACAAGTTCTCAATCAGTTTCTTGGACATATATAAACATTAATCATCTAAGAGACAGATGTGAACTTTGAAAAGGTTGCAAAGGAAGGGTGACCTTTGAATCATTGTTGAAGTATTCCTTCTTACTGTACTTTTCTTGTATCACCTTTGCTCTCAAAGTTCATTCACTAAGCAAATCGTGGAACTCTTATCTGAAATTTGATTTTTTATTTATCAAGTACATGAGGAATGGAAGAGATTCCTTTTCAAATTATTATTCTTATTGCCAATTTTCCTTTTGCTGGGCGCCTATACGTCATGCTACTTTATTTTACTTTCTTGTAGTGATTGTATCAGTTTTAGTACTCCCTCCGTGCCTTTTCTATGGTTATGTTTCTATTTTGGTCGTTCCCTTTCTTTGGTTATGTTTCTATTTAAAGTAATATTTTTACACCCCCTCATATTTACATAATCCCTAAACAACTATTCTCATTTACCAAAATATTTACATAATCCCAAAGCAATTATCCCATTTAACAAAAATATTTACCTACTCCCAAAGCAAATATTCCTGTGTACCAAGATTTTACCTACTTTCAAAATATATAATCACATTTTACCTACTCCCAAAGCATTTTTCTTAATACCCATGAAAAAAATTCGAACTTATCCTTAGAAAAGTAACTGAGAGAGTACTATGTTTGTCAAGTCCTGAGAGTACAATGTCCTATTGATGGTGAATTTTAAAATATCATTGCTGACTCTTCATATATTTACATTGATGTCAGATGGAAGGAGTGGTAAATTTTTTTGGACGGATATCTCTTCTTGTGGATCAGAACACACAAGCTGTTCATTTTTTCATGTCTGCACTCTTACAGGTATGCAGCTTATTTCACTGCTTTAACCTTTGTAGCTATTCTGATCATAGCATTAGTATTCATCAAAACTTGGGAAAATCAGGCTGTGGACCAAAACAAGTATGATTTGTTTGACATTGTGGACAAAAGAAGAAAGAAAAGGCTGCCTTTCAGTCACTATCTTGTGTTTATGTGATTCAGTGTGTTCAAATTTTAAGCTGTAACGGACGTGTGCACACCTACTTCATCGTACAAATATTAGGGTGTTGGAGACTAGAATGGTTGACCTATACTTTAGTTGCTCACTTAGTCACTTGTGCAAAACTTTTAATTTCTTGTGTTTGATGCATATGAAGTTAGAATTTTGGTTTGTGTGAATTGTGTCACTTCTTTACTTTGGCTGTGCGAGTAGGCTGTCCTGTCTTTTCTGTTTTTTATAGTAGAACCACATCATGAAGTAAAGTTTTTAATGTTCGGCTGACCTATTAGAATATAGCACCTTTTAAAAAAAAGAAAAAAAAAAAATTGTCTCCTGCTGCATATGCGTCCAAAACTCCAAATTTAGAACGTTCTTTTTTCTTCATGTAGTATATTTACTATATTAGTATTTTGATGAGCCATATCATTATTGCAGCTCTTCGACCGAGGTGGTATGCTATATGGCGAATTGGCCAGATTTGTATTTAGAATTTTGGGGCTAAGAAGAAAATCGAATAAGATTGGCCCTGCAGGCCCAAATGGCCTTCCATTGCCAGGACCAGACATGCAGAATGATCAGAGACTCCTAGAGGGACCAAAATCTGCACCTGCTGGCGCATGGGATAACGTATGGGGCAATGATGCTAGAAGATAATGCAGGACTTTTTTTGCTCTATGATCTCAATCTGGACTCTGCAGGATGCTAGAGAGCGACAAAAGCCTCTCTCCTACACAGGGAAATGAGTTAGATTTTGGTACCATTATTTCTGCAATTCTGTATGTCTTGTATAATAGCTTGTTCATTTTCTCTATATCTCATTGATGTATAAAATGTGCTATAAATGCTTTAAGCTACTACTTTGTTTGTGCTATTGTGATTGGCGCTCACTTTGAAGTTCCTACTCTGTAATGGGAGTCTGAAGTATTATGAATAAAGTTGTGTTCTTTGAAAAAAAAAAATGCATATTTAAATATAATAGTTCTACCCTAAGTCCCTAAATTTCCTTTTATTTTTTACTTCTCAACCTAAGCTAAAGTTTTAAAATTAGTAAATCACAAGACCAATTAGTTGATTAAGCTGGTTATAAGTTCTCGTTGGCCTATAGCACTAATCTTAAAAAACAAACAAACAAAAAAAAAAAAAAAACAAAAAAAAAATTTAACTCCAAATATATGTGATTACATGCGATTAGTTAACTCTAAATATATGTGATTACAATACTACATGCGACTAGTGTTGTCAGGTTTTTATTAAGACAATTATTATAGACGGGATTTAATCCTTTGTTTTTTATACTACCTCTAAATCTTTAATTAAGTAAATTAGTTGACATCTATAACACAAGTGTAATAATTTGTTTTATGGCCAGTGTCATCAATTAATTTTTTTTTATTTTTTATTTTTTATTTTTTTTTTTTACAAGGTCATCAATTATTGAATACAGTACTTGTACAATTCAAACAAAGTATACAAAGCCATAGGAATACAGGATACATCTTTTTAATTTGATAATGCTATCTGTTTTTGAAAAGTTTGACTCTTTTTCATGTAAACAATGGCAATACCATTATTTTCACAGATAATGATCAAGATAGAGTGGCAGCTAAGAATAAGATTCTTTAAACCTTAAAACTGTATATATATAAAAATTTCAACTATTGGTAGTTGTATCAATTTTCTAATCTTGTAAAATCAAGATCATTTCAGGTCAAAATCCAACACTCGTCAAACTCAAACTCCCGGTGCCAAGCCGTATACTTGGCACTGGCTATATAGGAAAGAGGGAGAAGTAAACGCTCTCAAGTCTCAACAGGATGGGTTCTATGACATGTAACTAGAACCCACATCATCTAGGGGGCAACCTGGGACTGTTCATTCTTGAGTAATTGATAAAGATATCTCCCAATATAAAGTTTCCATGTTAGCTTCCTCAACTTTCACATTTGCTATTAGTTGCTAAGTCACTATCACAATTTTATGCTTGAATTTACGGAATTCGCGACTAGAAAACAGGGATCCAACCACCTATAAGAATGAGATAGCCTTTCGGATTGAAATGAAGGGCACTTCTTTAAGGACAACCTGTCCCTCAAACATTCTCCACATCCAACAGCTAACTTGTTGATTCCTGTCATTCCATTATTAACTCATCTCACCTAAAGCAGACTAGATAAGTCAAACCCAGCTGTATTAAGGAAAGAAAAAGAAATAATAGAAAATTCGTGGAAAAAACAGCAGCTACTATACATGAAAAAGTATTATCTAACAATATACATCAAATCCTAGCAACAAACTACACTCCCCATATGCCCTTCTCGACCAGATACAACTCGCCTACATTCCTCCCTCTCGCAACAAAATATACTCAGTACAAAATTACACTGATTACAAAAACTAGAAAAATGGGTATACTGAGCTCCCATCCACCACGATGATAACCTGCAATATACCGTAGCACATGCATGTCAGCCAATTAGCATATAAGATTAGAAGGCTAGTAAAGTATAGCTCAAATTTCAGGCAATGGATCAGAAGCCTTAATTGACTTCAGACAAAAAAGACAAGATAGCACAATAAATAAAACAATAATCACAAACAATACTCCCAGTCAGTTTCCAATTTCTTCCGTGTATAGAGTTTTAAATTAAACTAGTACTCCGTATTAGGACGCTTGAATATAAATTTAAACTGAACTTCAGTGAATGGTCATACTTACAGCTTGGTGGAACCCAAGACTTTGAAATGACTATTCTCCACACCCCCACCCCCCTCCGCTTTCTTTTCCCGGTATCAAGGTTGTTACTACCATTTTCAAAATTTCAACTTGGTTTTATAAAATAACGACTTGGACAATCGGCTAATAATAAAAAAAATCACTAATACATTACTCTATTGATAGATCTAATAAAATACTCGTGAATTATTTGCTACATTTTAAAAAACCAAATTGCACAACAAACCAAATTGCACAACTGTGGATGTGCAAATTGTTTGTTGCTTTTGTGATTTGGTTAAAGTGGTTGCTAAAACTATACCACACAAAATTTGAACATAGGCTCAGCATTGCAATAACAACATGCCATTACTATGTGTAAGCCTATCATTTTCAACACCAATTGCAGTGTCATTGGAGTTCGTACAAACTGGAAACATTCCATAGGCAGTGATATGCAACTATCATAACAAGAAATGAAAATTTTAATTTATATTCTCCAAACAAACATTAGCATTTGACTTTCTCTTAGATAAGGGCATAGTTAGTAATTCTTAGTAATTTAACTTCACAAACAAAACACTCTTTACTAGTTAAGGGCTTTGGACAGAAATGTGTAAACTAACAGTCCAAAAAAAAAATGTAAACACTATCAATAAAGCTGCAATATTAACGGGGTTATACTGTTGTAGACATACCGTGACTTCCTGAATGCTTTGACTTTGGAAGAGCTGGTAATGACATTTCTGCATCGACAGCACAAAATTAATCAGGTGATATTGTCATATATACGCAGTAGTAGTGAGCCCAACAAAAAAAAAAATAAAAAAAAAAGGAGCACACTTCAGATAAATAGGGACATCTAATTACTAGCTCTACCATTTCCGGATAATACATCCCAAATAAAGTTGAAAGTATGTGGTATACTTTGATTTGCTTATATGTTTCATGACACAGATCAAGTAAATGGTATTGTGAAAATCTTAAAATGCATGTTGTTATGGCATGTTTTGGGTGGGATATGGTAGATTAAGTTTTCCCCATCTATCAGTACTAATGCCCATTGCCAAAAAAAGCCTCTGGATGAAGGATAGAGCACTTATCTGACCCTCGCAAAAAGAGAGGGAAGGATGACAAATAATTGGTAACCCATATACAAGTTACAGTAACAAACAAAACTAGAACTATAGAGTATTTTTTTCCGAGTTACCTGGAGCACACAGGGAATAGGACGACATAGAAGACGATGAAGGCCAGGGAGCTCCGATATTGTCATTTAAGTCACAAGTGAAACTATAGCCTGTTACATTGTCATACACAATATCTGCTGGCTGACTTCGAAGTAGACAACCTGCATTTCCAGAAGAGTGAGAATCAGGTGTCAACAGAACAGAAGAGGAGGGGGGGGGGGGCAAAAAAAAAGAGCAAAGTCAAAGCGCAATATAACAGGGTCAGATAAACCGTTTCTGACAAAAGGGGGCCAAAAAAAAAGCATAAGCTTCAATAATTTATTAATGGAGCTCAATGAAAATCCATTGGGAAAATTCATAGACATTGTAATCAACAAATATTATCATTAAATTACACATATCTCAGAGAAGAAAAAGTGCAGACCTTGCTGTCCATATGCTGTTACTGCGTCCAAAAACAGATCCATGCAAGGAAAAATTATAAAGTCAGACAGATATAATAAGAAGCAATACAGCAAAATAAACCAAAAATAGAGTTATCTTTGTACCTTGGATTGAAAAATCTTTCAAGTACACATCACAAAGTTCATAAACATTTGCCATAACTCCGGCCTTCTGTAACATTGATGCAAACATAGTTGAACAAATGATTGCTTGCTTATTTGTAATCAACATTTGCTTCTGAACCCCATTAATATAGCTATTTAATGAGCTGCAACAGGAAGGACCAGGAGCAGCTGTGTTACGGCATTGCTCAACTACTTCTAACGGATGTCTGAACTGCAACGGACAAACTGCATAAGGAAATCACTTATTAGAGGTTAAATAATTCAATGAGGCAAGAATTTGTATCTCTCAAAAGATCAATAACCCAGTTTGTTTAGTCGCCAAACTAAAATCTCAAGTCAAAACAATAACAATGACCTTTCGACCACAACTCTTTGTTGATCTGATGCCATAAAAGTTAATAATTAATGGCATGTAATCTATGTATATATTTGCTCATATCCTAATTTGCCTCCAGCTGCTCAGCAGGCATCACTAATCAGTCATCAATTTCAATATGCAAGTACCTGAAATACAATCATGTCTCTATAGTGACATGGGGAAGAGCTAAATCAAGGACAGGCATTATTTGCTACTCTATACTGTCACATGAAAATAATAAAGCCCTAAACTAATATATCAGCAAATTCAAAAAGTTGTTACTCCTATGGATTCATATTATTTGAATTTACAGCATGCATAAGTTGCTAACCTTGAAAAATGAGATCATAAAACAGGCAGCAAAATCAGAGAGAATATTATTGATAGATGAACTAAAATTGTTATGATGGTGATTCAGCTTGAAGCCAATATAACATGTCAGTAAGAACAAAAAAAAAAAAAGGTTCTTGGAATCCCTATTAAAATCAGGTAAACATGAACAAGAAGAAAATTGGGAAGAAAGGAGCTTTCAAGACAATCTAAATTAACGCTGAGAAAACCTTTGCCTTCAATTAACACTGGGAAAGTGGCAACAGATGGATGTTCAGAGCACTTCTATTCCTCTGAACCCCTATTCCTTTTTGCAAATAATCAATATTATCCTAAGGGACGATAATGGAGATTTTTTTTTTCTTCTCAGTATTACCTTGATAAAATGCCAAACAAACAAAAAGAGACCCATCTAGTATAAAGACATTTTAACAAAAATGAGCAAAAGAAGGCATAAAGCAGACTCAAGATACTACATCTAATGGCAGTATTAAGCACAACACATCAGTAATACAAACATCAAATACTGTACCTTTATTGACTTTACAACTAGAAACTATCCTGAAAGCAGTATTTGCAGCATCTGCTGAGAGTTTCCTTGAAAGCCATGAAAAGACAACTCCTCTACAATCATTAAGTGTGTCAATATTTATAGCTCCACCTGCCGCATTTTTTCCATCACTGGCTGCTAGTTGTCCTGAGAGCTGAAGTGCAGAATCTGTAATCGCGGGTTGGCAAACAGGTCTACAGCACTCCTTTAGAAGGTCAACAGTGCTGCAGGAATCTAACAACAGACTTGTGTTCACAATTTTTTCAAATGAATTTACATCTTTCACAGGACAGGATCCCCCCGTAATATTTGATGGTTTAACAGAACAAAGCCGTGAAATGGAGCTATTTGCCCCTTTGCTAGCAAGAATGCTAATAATGTCTGAGAAACAATCATCAGCAGTAGCATCTTGAAAAACCAACTTATCGGAAATTGTGCTGTGGTAACCCTGGAAAATACGGAGCAGACTACTAAATTGGGGACAGCATATAACATTTCCAACATAGGATGCTAACGGTTGAGAACAATCAAGAGCAGTTCTCTCAATGACGTCTGATATGGCAGAGAAGTTTACAGGACATTTCCCTGTCAATACAGGCGTGTATATCATTGGAAATCTAGGATACATTGGAGAATTAGATTCATCGGGAATTGGATCGTGAGGAATGACAGATGGTGATATCTGAATTGGTTGAAAAGCCCCTGTGGTCGGCAACTTATCAAGCTTATGATGAGAAGGAAGATGATACTGTTCAGCTAGCACTTTCAAAAACACCACATCTTCGAATGTGGAAAACCAGATAGTAAATAGCAAGAACCTCTGGCATAAAGTACCTGCTATGAAAAATAAGAATGCATTGACAGGAGATGATGATGTAGCGGGATGAAATATACAGAGACATGCATATTCAGAACAAGAAGCTATAATATACAAAGCAGAACAACAACATAAGCTATGTAAAATCTAGCAACAACAAGCAGGCTAGCAACAATCTTTGTAAGCTAAGATATGGATCCTCAACAAGGATTTTCACAAAACGAAAATAGCAATACACGTATTTGATGAATAGTCTCCACTCACTGTCTTGCAAAATCATCAACCAATTTTAAGACATCATCTACAACAATTTCCACATAGTCTACAGTAAGAAACATAAACAACAAGATCAAAAGCTCAAGCAAAGCATTATATCATTAATACGGACTTGAGAAGTTAGACACTTCTATGATTTGAATGGCAGCAAAATATAGACAAATCATGATCACCACAGGTAAAACATAAAACAGCTACAGCAAAATCAGAAAGATCTCTTTACCCTTGAGAAGATCCACCGTCCTTCTACAGTCCATAGTGCCACTAACCATTAGGCAACATCGAGATCCTCGAAGACACCCCCTCAAGATATAAATTCGACGGTCCAATGACTTATCCGAGCCATAAGACAAAGCCTGTCCATAGTAGAACAATGAAGTTGAGGTTTGGCTAGTACATGAACTTTAAAATTACAGAAACACAATCCAAACCACAAACATACCAAATTAAACCATTATATATCGTTACTTGGTTGGTCAAATATCAATCAAGTAAATAAATTACATTTTTTTTTTAACCAACACCTAATCTGACATAAACTGGGCATGGTAAAATTTACAATTCAAACTTTAAATCACTAGTTCAGCTCAAGGACTAAGCAAATTAACTTCTGAAACTGATAAATTTTACCATTTCCCCAGATAAGAAAAAAAACAAAAACAAAAAAGACCCTTTTTTATTAAACCAACAAGATTACCCAGAATATCAAATCAAATCCAAATCAAGAATTTCCCCAAACTAAGAAAATCACAAAAACCCAGGAAAAAAAATAAAAAATCCTGTGCAACATCTAAAACAAGATATAAAAATAAAAACAGCAAAAAATATAAAAATCTAATTGAAGAAGAGCTGAATATTGCATTGAACATAGAGAAACATACCTCAAATGAGAAAAGGCAACAAACCCAGAAAAAGGGAAGAGTAAATGTGAATGATGATTTGTTAACGGCTGATTCCAGAAGATTCCTCTGTCAATGCAAACTTTTCCTTTTAATTTTAATATAATATCTATATAAGGTAAAAAGGGAAGTTCTTTATTTTTAGGGTTTTACCCAAAAAAAAACCCAAATTGATTTCTTGATTTCACAATCAACCCAGAAACCAAAAATTTTGCTACAAATCTATGAACCCTAAAAAATTCTAGTCATAATAATTGGCGGGTAAGAGAGAGAAAGTGTTATTATCAGTAGTAGCAGTCTCTGTAGTAGAGTAGTGCTTGCCTTTTTCTCTCTCTAGAAAGATAGTTTTGTGGGGAAGAGAGAGAAAGTTTACTTTCCTCTTTTAGAGAGAAAAACTAAAAAAGGGTACCCCAAATGTTTTGGTAATAGTATCCCAAATCTTTTGGGTCATTTGATTAAGGTTATTGAAACCTGGTTTTTGGGGTTGGATTAGGGAAGATGATGAGATTGTGAGCCATTGGATTCTGGCATTTGTTGGTCCAAATTTTACTGCTGAAAGTGAGGCCATTAAGATAAAACAACTTGATTTCTTTAACAGCAGGTTACATTATGTGATGTTGGATTATAATAGGTTTTAAATCACTTTTCTTTTTTTTTTTGGGAGCATAACAATTCTTCATGGTTTTGTAAAAATCTATAATGTTAACTTGTACAAGTAATTGTGATACCTTAATTAATTGGATGGATGGATGCTAATTAAGTATTTAAGTGTTACAAGTAATTAGTTTGTTGATATCGTTAATTGTGCGAGTAGTACCTTCTAGATCTTTAAAGTCCCTGTTATATTTTATTGTCCGGCTATATTGTCACGTTTCGCTTTGGGAACTTGATATCAGCAACAAGATTTGATTTTATGTTTTTATGAAGTAATGAGAGACTTGATTTTGGATAATCATAGTTACTTTTTTACCCGTACGCATCAAGAAAAAGTTTGTTTTCACCAAAAAGATTGCAACCAGATGTTACAAAGCTAATGAATTACTTTTCATATGTACTTTATGGTGTATCCTCTTCATCTTATTTTTCTATGTATGATATTATCTGGGGCTATTTAAATCTATTTGAACTTTGAGCGTGTATGAGATTATTAGAATTTATTAAGTCTAAGCTTATTTTATTTGAACTGTTTTGAATTAAATAGGCTAAAATCAGCTTCATTTAATTTGATAAGTTGCCTAGAGGTATGTGATATCACATTTGCCTTATACAAGTTGTGCTTAATTGCTCATTATCCGCTAAGTAAAATTGATGCCTCCAAAGGAAAATTCCTACAATGCAACACACTTTCTTTGGAGGCTAATATTCTTATACATAACAAATAAAAAAAATAATAAAAAAAAAAAAACTTTTCCTTTGGAGGTAACACACTTTCCTGCACACTATTTGAGTAAATAAATAATTAGAAAAAGGTAAACCACTTAACAATTTGGACAATTTAACCTATAATTTTAAAATGTACCAATTTAACACTTTATTCTTAATGGTGATAAAATTATTTCACGAAATTTATCCTTTTACCTAATACGGAGTGTAATACTTCGTATCATCTTTACAGTGCATGTCAAATTAGTGTGCTGCAAGTATATTAACACGGAGGAAGAATTTTGCAAGAATCATGTTACCACTTATGCAAAAAACTGAATCACAAAATGCAAAATACAAGTTACAAACATATACCCTTGAATAGGAACTTAGAAGGCCTTGCATGAAGATGTAAGACTTGTAGAAAGAGCAACAAAGAACGACAATAAAAAGAACACGCAAATTTAAATTACATTTTTTGACTTAAAAAATGTTACCAGTATTCAATGGCATTTAAATTGATTTTATATAAAAAACAAAAATCTTGCCCAAAAAACGAGTCCAAACATAAAATCATGCCCCAAAATAACAAATAATGTCACTTAGACTTTTGTGATGGGCCACCACTCTAAAGAGTGTATAGATCACAACATACTCTAACAAAAGGAGAGAAATCTTTCTCATCAATTAATTTTTTTTTTAATTTTTTTTTTTATAGAATTTTCTCATTGATTTATTATTAATATTGAATGATGAACTTGATCCTCGTCGCTTCAAACCGCAACAACATATCACTTGAGCCACCCACATATAACACAAGTGACATGTCTTTAACACGTTCGCCCAACATTTGCACAACATATCTCCCTCCTTAACACCATGACACGATCTCTTCAACGTTGTAGCTCGTTGTTGCTTCACTATCCCTTACACTTTGTCCCCATCGATCGCTTAAAATGCTCTCTTGAATAATGTTTTATCATGTAGCAATTATGAGCATAACATGTAGTATCGTCGAGAGAGAGGTGCTCCCCCACCACGCTCGCTTGCCTACCTACATAGTTAGCGCACCATCCACGCTAGTTTGAAGTGCCCCTCACCAAAGCATTCCCAATGTCACACCAGACAACAATTACTTGCATCAAACCAGGGTGTAATGGGTTCCTCTACATCACAATTTAGTTGGCGGCCTTCCTAATGGTGAATGGAACCTTGTCCCCTAGAACGATGTTGATGTGACTTTGATACCATTTCTCGTAGGGCAAGTGTCAATCGCAAGCAATTCCCGAATTATGAACGCTTGATTTAAAGTAGCCTTTTCATTTCATATGCACAACAAGTATTAAATGTAGTTATATGCTAGAAAATAACACCTAATGACGCAAATTTGCACCAAAACGCATGCATAAATATACTACACATACAAGTGATGTCTTATATAGCCGCTAGAGCATCAAGGAAACTATCACCACAAGACTCCTTGCTTACGCTCAACATTGTTGCACACGCCTTGTTATGAGAAGTTGAAAACGATGATGTTGAATGAATACAAGCAAGAGTGATAGTGATAGTATATTAAATCGAACTACAGGAAACCAATATCTAACAATTCTAGTAGAGTGAAATTCAAATAAAATATGTTTCTTAAATTTATCTCTTTAAATTTTGTTTTATTATAACATTTCAACGTTACATATCAACTTAGAACACCTACGCTAAATGATCTATTTTACAAATTACAAAATCTTTCATAATAGTAGCAGTATGCCGATATAGTATGTAACATTGTCGAACAACTTTATACTACAACGTACGCCATACCTCATATAAAAAATTAAATTGACTAATTGACAACAATTTTTTCTTGTAAAAACTAATTAAAGGAAAGAAAAAATACACCACTACACCTGTATCATTGTTGGAAGTTGTAATTACACCTAAACAAGATGATTTAGGGGGTGTTTGGTAAATGGGAATTGAGGGTGGGAATGGGACGTTTAATCCCAAATAAAAAAAAATAAAAAAAAATCTCTTGTTGTTAAATGGGATTGGAATAAAGAAGAAAATGGGATTGGGAATAAATGGGGTAAATTCCCAATCCCATTCCCACCAATTTATTACCTAGGGAGGGTAGGTAATAAATTGGTGGGAATGGGAATAAGTGGAAAATGACATTTTTGTCATTAATGAAAAGAAGGGAGGAGAAAGATTAGTAAGGGTAATTTTGTATTTTTGTTATTTATTCCCCATCTATTCCCATCCACTATCTAAACAAAGTATTGTCATATTTTTATATATTCCCAATAATCAATTCTCAATTCCATTCCCTACTTTTTAATCCCCAAACTCCCATTCCCACATTCCAAACGGCCGGTTAATGCCAGGAGCTAAAATAGGCAATACTTGTTGGCTTTTTGCAAGTAAAAAAAAATGAACAAAAGCCTTAAAATACAAGAAAAATAAAGGCAGATATATAAAAATGGTCGTTACTCGTTACAGAGAAGTGTAACAAAAATGAAGAACACTGTCAACAACATCAACAACGACCCAGCTGATGATAATGATACTAACAAAGACCCTGTTGCTACTCTCGATTCACGCTTCAACCAAACCCTCAAAAGTGTTCAAGGGTACTTTTCTTTCTCTCTCATCTTTTTATTTTTGTTGCTAAGATTTGATTTTTTGAACACCCTTTTGTTCATTAGATTTGATCTGTCTTTAAAAATTCATAATTTTGCATGATTCTTTTGAGCATTTCTTGTGATTTTTTGAATACCCATTTGGGAAAAGTTCTCAGATCTCTTTTGATTCTGTGTGATTTTAGATGGGTGTTGTTACTTTTTGGGTGTTCTTGATTTATGCGAAATTGTGGTTAAATTATGAGCAAATTTCCCATTGTTCATCGACTGTTCCTTAATTTAAAAGAGTATGTTATATTCAAAGATCTTTCATTTTTATCTATATTGTTTAAGTTCAACGTTTTGGTTAATTCACAAGTAGGCTTAGTTAACTGGATTTCTGGGTTTCCCCAGATATACGCATTTGTTCCTTTTCACTGTTTTTTTTTTTATTTTATTTTATTTTATTTTATTTTTTTTTCCTTTAAAAAAAAAATTAACTATTCTTTATGGAATTTGAGCTGTTTGTTGTACATTAAGGAAGGATTCTACTTTATATTGTACTCTCTCATGTCATCTGATCCCAATTCTGCTATTCGGATGTTATGGGGGGTCTTTAACCATCTGAAATCTGATATTATGATTTAGATTTTGATTATCATTTGGAAAGTACATTGTTTGATCATTATAGATTGAAAGTGAGGTTAAAATGATTGGAATTTGATTATTTGCATAGAGATGAAAGTGAGGTAAAAATGATTGGATTTGATTATTTGCATAGAGATGCTAATTCATACTTGATAGAAACTTGGACTGCAATTCTGTTTGCAAAATAGTATTAGTATGAATGTATGAGACTTGGCCTTTTTACTTCTTTAAATGGTGCATCACTTCTTTAAATGTTGAATCTGAAAGGCTTTTTGCCTTTAACTTGAGTATGCAAAGACATGGTTTAGAAGTGCTGTGCATTTTCTTATTTCTGATATGGTTCATTATAGGCTACTTAAAGGACGTAGTTTTCCTGGTAAAGTGTTGCTGAGTCGTCGAACTGAACCTTTTGACACCTCTAGCATACATGGCTCTCCCCGGGGATGCGGAAGGAGTTACTCTCAAAATGATGCTGGACCAAGTGAACAGGAGGATAATTTTGTTGAGGCAAGATGAATAGAATCTCTCCTTGTGCACTTTCATTTGTTTGTAGCTTATGGTATTATTGAACCAATTTTTAATATTTGATTTTGGATGCAGGAACAATCTCCAAGTGTTGATAGTAATGAGTCTAATGACTCTGCTGTCAGTAAGTCAAAACCTTCACCTTCTCCCGTCAGTTCATCCAAAGAGTCCCAGAAGACTTTGTTAAGTGCAAGAGCTACAGATACTGCAAGGGTTATGAAGTTTAAAAAGGAGCTTTCAGCACCAACAGTTACTTTAGGTACTATAACAATTCATAGTTTCTTACTAGCATGTTGTTTGCTTATTATTTGTCAGAGTGTCAGACAAGGAGTATAGAGCTGTACGTGTTATTTAGATATGCACAACTGAGTAAGATAACCTTGTATTAGGTTTTATTGTTTTAACCCCCTTTTAGATAGCGTAACTTCAGTCCCCAGTTTAAAAATTATTGAATAGGAAGCTGTCTAAGGTTGCTGCAGTAGATTACTTCTTGTTTGAACTGTTGGCTAGCCAGTCGTGGCTTACCTTGAAGGCTGAAGGGAGAGTCTTTACTCAGTAGTAACTGGTCTTTTTGTGGGACCTCTAGGGAGCAGCCTATACTTACAGGCTTTGTTACATGCTCCTCTGGCTACATCAAGAATATGCTTTGAAAGAATTAGTGTATGCATTATTTTGAAGCAAATATGTATGCATTGAGTTCATTGGGTCACATGTTTATTAGTTCACTAGATAATACCCGAGCCATTGGTTTTTTATGAAGGTAATTGAAATTAAATATAGAAGTCTCATGAAAAATGTGATCTAAAAGTCCATCATAATAATAAATAATTAAAGTATAAAGTTTCTAGACACATTAATAATTCTGCAAAAATCTAAACGAAAAAAAATAGAGTTTAAGAGGGAAAATTCCCTCCAAAGAAAAACTCTAATATAGTTTAGGTATATAGATACATGGGCTTAACATTTGAGCGGGAAAATTTTTCATGAGGTAGCGCCACGTGTACAGCTTTGGGAAATGATGACATTAGCGTTTGCTACTTTAGTATTAGTTATAGATGCTACCTCATTGTAGGTTAATCTTTTCAGGTTAGATCATCACTAATTGAACTAATTTGTGTTTGGTCCTTTTCTCTTATAAGTGGGATTTTGACTTAAGTTGCTTGATATAAATGTATTTTTCCGAATTCCTGTAAAGTTGTAAATAGTGGATTTTTTATGGAGGCTTTTGTGTCTCAGATAACTAATTAATCATTTTCCTTTTATTATGGAGGTTCTTTTGTGACACAGCTCCTACTTAACTTCTCTACGAGCTCTGTTATTGGTTGTTATAGATACTTGGTTTTGGAGCAGGGAGTAATGCAATTTGAGAAATGTACTCTTAGATGGTAGAGGATTTCTATTGTCCTGGATTAATAAAACATCTTTGCCTGAATCAAATACATTGTCTTTCGACATCTATATTTTCAAATGGATGATCTGTCAGGTGCTCCTTAGCATGTTCCTGAGTTGTTTGGTGGGGATTGATTATTATTATGAATTGATGTCCAAAGTGAGTATTTGATATTTCTCAAGCTGTCTGGCTTCTGAATGCCTGATACGTATTTGTAAATTTCATGATATTTCATGTATAATCTGCTTATGGTTCTAGCGTCTGCTTTAGGAATCACCAATAGCTCTTTCCTGCTTTACTTAATTGATATTTTGAGTGCTGAATATGAACTATCAACTCATAGAATTTCCTTCTAATTGTTTTCCATCCTGCAGATAAATTACGGGCACTAGCTTGGAATGGCGTGCCATCTTACATGCGGCCTGTTGTCTGGAGACTTCTTTTGGTAAGATTTTACTTATATGATTATGTGTTTCATTGCTAAGAACCCAGTGGCACATTTCTTCACATGTATGGCCAGGGTTCTTTCCCCTTTTTTCAGCTTTTAGCAGCAATAAGATATTGAAGTTTGTGTGGCATAAGAACACATTTAGCGACTTCATCATAAGAACACGTTTAGCGACTTCATTATATATGCATAAAGCTGGTTAATACCCTAGAAAAGTTGAAGATCTTGGTTGTAAGTTGAAGTATTACAGGGTTGTGTTGTAGGTAAAAGGCAACTCTGAGGCAAAGAAAGAGAAATATTTGTGTATTCTCCATATGTATAACTGTTTTTCATAGTTTTTTCTTGGGTTGTAAGTTGAACTACTTACAGAGTTGTGTTGTGAGAAAGTGCAACTCCAAGGCAAAGAAAAAGCAATATATGTGCTCGCTTCATCTGCTTGATGATTTTCCCTAGTTTTTCTTGTTCATTGATAAGTTTTGGACTCGTGAATTGTTAGTGCCATTAGAGGCTTAGAGCCATGCGTATGTTCTCTGCATATTTATCCGTTAATGCTTATTCTTGGGGTTATTCAGTGACCTGCCTTTTTGTCGTAGCTGTAATAACTTTGCAGTATCTTTACTTAGTCAATGATGCAAGATTGAAAGGATAAGCACATAAGCTTCAAGCATCTGTTCCTACCAAATCCTTCTAGTGCATGATCTCAATTCCTTACTACCTTGCATTCCAGAATTTTTCATTTCTCCAATGTTTCTAGGTGATACTCCCACCTAATTTTGGATTGGTGGGTGGGTGGGTCCAAGTACACAAACATATCCCCATGATAGCTAAGAGGCAGTTGACGTCAGAGTCTTTACTAATTTTCTATTTGATTGAAACATATCCCCATGATAGCTAAGAGGCAGTTGACGTCAGAGTCTTTACGTCCAATAATAGCTAAGACGCAGTTGATTGAAACTCAAAAGTATTGGTAATTTTCTATTTGAGGTAGAGACGTAGAGTGCATTTTTCTGGGACTTATAACATACTTCATCATGTCCCAAGCTATGACATATAACATAGTTTTGTAAATTAATTCTTTCATGTAACAAGAATCTAAAAGTAGTCATGATGTCTCACATTTTTGTACTCTACAAATTTCTAAAAGGAGTTATCTTTTATGATTTGGTAAATATTAACTATGCAGTAATATCTTCTGATTTTGTTTTTTATCTAATGGTGAAGTCTCAAGTTGTTATCTGCACATCACAAATCCTGAAATATGTTATTATTTTTTGTTTCTGGTTGCATGTTTATTCAGTTGTAAAATGAATTAATGGATGTATTTTTATTGGTTATAAGTTTGAGCATGAACTGACAACAGGGATATGCACCACCTAATTCAGATAGAAGGGAAGGAGTTTTGAGAAGGAAACGTCTCGAGTATCTTGATTGTGTGGCACAGTATTATGATATTCCAGATAGCGAACGTTCAGATGATGAAATCAACATGCTTCGCCAGGTTTGCTCTATTCTTTTTTCATGTTCTTTCTGGAGTTATGATTAATTCTGCTTTCTCATGGCTCGCTTTGCCATTGACAGATTCAAGTTGACTGTCCCAGAACGGTACCTGATGTAACTTTCTTTCAGCAACCTTCTGTCCAGAAGTCTTTGGAGCGGATACTCTACACTTGGTCTGTAGTAATTTCTGTTTCCTCTAATTCATCTATTGACTTGGCAAGATCTTCTGTCTGAGTGTTCAAATTTTTGTGAGATACATGTGACCTATTTTAAACAAAAAAACAGTACTTTGTAATTCATTATTGATGTGTTTAAATGAGGGCTTTGTGAGCATTTCATAATCAATAAGTTTTCTTTAATCTAATTATGTTCTTGGTTGTTAATATGTTTCAGTATCCTCTAGTGTTCTTATGCTCATTTCAGCATGATATTTTGTGTCACCAGGGCCATCCGTCATCCTGCTAGTGGATATGTTCAAGGAATAAATGATCTTGTGACACCATTTCTGGTTGTATTCTTGTCTGAACACTTAGAAGGAAGCATTGACACTTGGTCATCTTTGGACCTATCCAAAGATAAAATTGCTGATGTTGAGGCTGACTGCTATTGGTGCCTCTCAAAATTGCTTGATGGTATGCAAGATCATTACACATTTGCCCAACCAGGAATCCAGAGACTTGTTTTTAAACTAAGAGAACTTGTTCGGAGGATTGATGGTATGCCTTTGTCGTTAGTTCCCTACTTTTTTTTTGCCATATTTTTTTTTCTTCTCATAATGCTAGTATGAATTTTTCACTGTTGCATCTTCAAAATCATGACACTATCACCAGTAGGCTCCTTCAGGCACTAACATTCACAAGAGTGGTTTTCATTATATTCTAATATATGGTGTTTGGCTAATTAGAATTAAAGGATAGACATTAATCATTTAATACTACCTCCGTTACATGTTAAGTGCAACAAACTCATGTGCACAATTCGCAAGAAAAAATTGCTTAATGGTTGTTTAAGAAAGTAAGGGCCATGTGATTAAGAGCATGAGAGAGAAAATGAGAATAAACTATAATTCAAGGGACTCCACCTTATCACCACCACCTTGCCGTTCTCCCACCAGTAGCAACACCCACCAAGCCACCATAATCAAACTCACTGCCCTCAACACACCCCACCGACCACCGCCTTCAACCTCACTGCCCTCAACACACATCTCACCACCCTCGACAAACCCTCATCGACCACCGCCTTCAACCTCACCACCCAAACAACCACGTACCTTCGAACACTCCAACAACACTGTCGGCAACTGCAAGCCGCAACAAAACCCTAAAAACTTACCTCCCCACCCCACATCTACCCGAAAATCCACCCCACTCACCTTGAAGCCACCCAAAACCAATCTAAAATCAACCCACCTACCCTCAAAATCAACAGATCTGACTAGAGCGGGGAGGTGGGCAGCGACAGGAAGGGCGGTGAAGGGAGCCGAGTCCAATTAGCGCTGGAAGGGAGGCGCTTCTGATTAGGCAGGAAAAAAGGACAGTTAAGGACGGCGACAATGTGGTAGCTGTGGTGGGGGTGGTGGTGGTGGTTTATGAGGGAGGGGAGAGGAAATGTGGTGGTTGTGAGAGAAGATAACGAAAAGTGGTAGTTGTGGACTGGTGGTGGTGGCTGAGAGAGATGAGAGAGAAAGTGTGTTGGTGGTGGACTGGTGGTTGGAAAGGAGGAGAGAGAATATGGGTTACGGAATTAAATGTTAATGAGGATGTTAAGTTAAGTTAATCAATGAATTAAATTAGGTTAATCATTTAACAATATTTGATTTAATGTATTAATTGAACTTTAGTAAGGGTATGTTAGTAATTTCAGCCAGAATGGAAAGTATTAGTTTGTTGCACATAATGTGTAGCATCCTTTTTTGGCAAATGTTGCACTTAACATGTAACGGAGGTAGTATTATGGCCAATCTCTATGGGAGGCTAATGCAAGTAACTTTTGGGGGTTAGAGCATTAGTGTATTATTGTTTTTGCACTCACTTACAATTTGTCATGTTTACACCCTTTTGCTATGAATATTTGACTCATGTCCTGTTATGTAAAGTTTTACTTAGCAGCTAGCTTATCTTTAGTTGCCACAAATAGGTAATTTGTAAATGGTTACTAACTAACTACTATGTGAGTAGCTAAGTTTGTGAAGATGTCATAATATTCTTAGAAAACAGTTAATTTTGCATGTGTTTGGAGTTGCATTTGTTTGGAGTTGCATTCCAACATTGTACTTCCACTATGCAGGCAAAAAAAGCTGTTTCACTTTTTTTTTTTCACACATCATGATGAATTTCTATATGGTGTCTGCAATTACAATGTTCAAAGTTCCTCTTTATATGTCTCTATGGGTTTATGAAGTTGGAACATCTACATAATTAACATAAAGAAGTAAAGAACTATGTTTTGTTTGAAGTTTTTGTTACTAAATAAATACTTCTACTACGTATAAGGAATAAAAGCATTTTGTACAGGCCTTCTTGGCTGTGTTTGTGGGGGAGGCTATTTGTCATAACTCAAATCCTAGTACCCACTCCCCCCCCCAAACCCCACTTTTCTGTCCCTCGGGTGGCCTCCTTTCACGAGGAAGACTAATTTAGTGCCTTTATAACCCCCCCCCCCCCCCCAAAAAAAAAAAAAAAAAAAAAAGAAAACAAAAGAAAAAGAGAGGAAGTTCAACAGTTTTTTTCTCTTATACAAAGCAAAGGGAACCAAAGACAGGAAAAAAAAAAAAACAAAACATTTCCTGTGGGGTTGCTATCGTACATTCATTACATCTTCCTCTCTTTTTTTTTTCCCCTTAAAAGTTGTCTCATTCATTTCTTATTTTACCAAAAATACAACCAGAACCTGTTTCAAAACATATGGAAGAGCATGGTCTTGAGTTCCTCCAGTTTGCGTTTCGGTGGTTCAATTGTCTTCTAATACGTGAGGTTTGTGCTCTCATCTTCTATGTTTGCTTATACTTTAGTTTCTGTTTTTACAAAATGTTTCTGGATTGGATTTAAGAGAAAAAGGAAGAGCTGCATATCAGATATCATGCTATCTAAGTCATCAGACCTTAACCTTGACACTGGACTAGCATTTCTCTGCGAATTGACAGAATAATTTTTTTTTTTTTTGTTAGATTCCATTTCCCCTCGTCAATCGCCTTTGGGATACATATCTTGCAGAAGGTGATGCACTCCCCGATTTTCTTGTGTACATAGCAGCCAGTTTTCTTTTAACTGTAAGTTGACTTTACTGGTTTTGCCAATTGTTTTAGTTGATCCATACACGCTTAGCGTTTGGAAGACTCTTAACTTTTGTCCATGTACCTCACAGTGGTCCGATAAGATCCACAAGCTTGATTTCCAGGAGATGGTGATGTTCCTTCAGCACCTCCCAACTCTCAATTGGCAAGATCAAGAATTGGAGATGGTGCTTTCAAGAGCGTACATGTGGCATACCATGTTCAACAGTTCTCCGAGTCATTTAGCTAGCTAGTCAATGCGGCAAAATATATATATTTTGACATGTTTAGTCCTGTTTGTTCCCTATTGTGTTCATCTAGTGGTAAAGATCGGTTCATACTGTTGATAATTTGGCCTTGTACCATTTGTGTTAGATTACATTGTTCTTCATGATGTGTAATCAATGGCATGTTTCATCTAATCAAAGTACCTTACTTTTTCAATACTAGTGATTGTAATTCGATTTCAATTCAATTTCAATTCAATAGATGAGGGAAATACAGAGGAGACTCGGAGAGTATATGATTCTATTCTGCAAAATATCATGTTTTACGTCATAAGTACTTCAAAGAACCTTGTGAATCAAACAATTGTTTCTGTTATACTATACCCAATTCCCTTTTGTTAAGTTCTAGACAGTTTGAAAATGTCTTGATTCAACGAAAGTAACCTAGAAGTTCCTCTCTTTTTTCTTTTTCAATACGAAGGTCTCACGGTATCACCTATGTTACAAAGAATTTTACTCCACTAGTACGGAGTACTACCAAAGCAAAGGATAATGTCTGGTAGCATAAAACAGTATACACTAGACAATTCATAGCAGGGATTATAGAGCACGACTTTTCTTCCTCCTCAGGTTGATGTCTCTGAACCAAGAGCAGTCACTTCTTAGCTCAGGTCTCTTAGCAATTTCTCCAGAAAAACACTTGCATCTTAAGGTAACATCAAAGAAATGTCCGTCACAGCAAACATATAATTTGCCGAAACAGAAATATACTACATATGAGCGACTTCAGTGGAGCCGAAGTTGAAGATAACACAAATTTACACTATTACAGCTCACAAATGCAGACAACTATAGATAATCTTTAAATTTTCCTTTCTTCTATAAGGCTAAAATTATACGAAGTCTGCTGTCTCTGCACAGTCCTACCACATGTAAAAACCATAATATGAAATCAGACAATACTAAGATCTCTTCCATATTTTTTTTCTACTTCTTCAAGAAATTTTTCAGGTTCATCGACATATTCTTCAAAGTCTCTTTTTACTGATGCTGCTAGCTCTTCTTTACCAGCTCTTTCCAGATTTCTTACCATAATCATCAATGTTAGCTTATCAGGTATACAACCAGAAGCTTTCATCTCATTATAGGTTTCCACCGCTTTTTCCACCATGTCTACTTGGAAATAAGCACCGATCAATTCAGTATATGCTCTTACATCAGGTTGTAAACCCTCTTGCTTTAGTTCATCAAAAAGCTCTTCAGCCTTATGAATCAGCTTGTTCTTTCCCAGTAGTAGAATCATGTCGTAGTATAGGGGGAGATCTGGTTTGTATTCCTTCTTCACAAAGTCGAACACCTGGAGTCCTGATTTCAAATCAGATGAGATACACAACAGCAAACTGTACGGGAAGAAGTTCTTAACATACATGTATTATATAACCATGATGTGCTTTCTTAGGGTTATGAAGAAATGATTTTGGGCAGGGACATGAAATTAATACAGAAAGGAAAAAGGGACAATTAGATGCCAATCTGAAATTTCAAGCCTCGACTAATTAAGATTTGCTATGCGTTTCATGTTCAACTATTAAAGAAAATATTTAAAGCAGCATCAATTTGTCCCAATAAGTATAAAAAATTTGAAAAAGATCAAAACTATAGACCTCAAACATGAAAATTTCATGAAAGCGCAACAAATGACAAACTCCGAGCAGTGCGAGCACTAAAAGTCCATCTTAGATAGACATTCTCTTACTGCTTCCTAGACATAAAGGATGAGTCCGAAAGTAAACTTAAGCACCCAACCATCCACATACTATTTCTATGGGAAGCAACCTTGGAATACACTTCTATTGTCTAAGATCAGACAAGACACAATGAAAAGTAGCCGCAGCTTTCTCACAATACAGACATCTGCATACAGGCATAATCGTATGTTTCAGCTAGTCTCAAGATCAAGATTTTCGGTCTTCCAGTTGGTTGAAGAAGCCAATTTCTCAATCAAGGAACTACTTGGCGATTGGCAAGCAAATTTTAGTAATCCAAATGGTAAACTAATAGAGTAAAAGTTTTCAGTAATTCGTATTTTTGTAAACTGTAATGCTATCTGAAATTAATCTAAAATGACAAGCTATTTCACCTAGATTGAATAAATTCCAACCAGCTGAAAGTTGAAGATTTTTCCCTTGTCCAAAACTTGCTAATAAGGAGTAATTGATTAGAAAAAACCCATCTAATTGAATTCTTCCATAGTTTTCCCCACTTAAACTAATAAATCATCCACCAAATACAAACACAGGTTTAACAGCATTGACTACCCAAACCCATAAACAATTGTCATTAATAAAACCATTTTGAATTCAGTTTTCGCGTTACTAGGTCAAACTACACTATCAACACGACTATTAATTCCGGACCAAGGGAGAAACAAAGAAAAGATTAAAACTTTGAATTACAAAGAGAGAAAGAAATGACCTGAAGAGCTAAATCCAAGTGATTTTGTCTCTGAAGTTCAGTCAAAGTATCCAACAAATCAGCCTTCAATAAACGAGTAAGTCTGGTATCAATTACATGCTGCAACTTATCAGGAGATTTGGCAAGTTTAAGGGAATGAACAGCTTGAATGGCTTCAGTGGAAAGAAAGCTTGACCTCCATAATGGTTTTTTGGGTCCTATTTTTCTCAAACCACAAGTAATTGTTCTTGTTCTTGTTTTTGTTGTTGTTGAAAAAGTTGAGGAACCCAAATGTAAAATGCTGGGAAAGTGGTGGATTAGGGTGAGATTTGAAGGGTGTTTTTGAGGGATGTGTAGTTGGGTGAATTGGAGTTTCAGAGTGTTCATTTCATTCAAAAGTTCAACAAAGCACCCAAGTGTGATTGTGTGAGAGAGAAGAGGTAGGGAATTTAGGAGATGAGACAGGAATTTGGTGGTTTCTCTTTTGGCAAAAACTCTACTAGTAATTCCTTTGTGTTAAATGTTTAGGGTTGTTCATCGGCTCAAGATTATATCGAATTGGATCAAATTGAATTGGACGGAAGGTTAAAAAGTGAAAAATAACTCTGGAATTTGGAGATCAATCGAGTCAGATGAAAGGGTCAAAATTGGACTGAATTGATAAAATTTGTCTGACTTTAAATCAAGTTGGTTTCCGTCAATTTTAACCATTTTTTTTAACTTTATTACTTTGTATATATTTATATGGACTTTTTAAAAATAAAAAAGTTATTATTATTATTATTATTATTATTATTATTATTATTATATGAAAGCCGAATGTACAAAATCTTATGATTTTTTTAAGTTTATCTTCGGTAAGCAGCAAAATTTTCAATTATCTTTGATAATCAACTACTTCCTCCGATTTCGGTTATTTGCAACATTTACCTTATTGGGGTGATTGCTATTATTTGCAACAAATAGATTTTTTTTCATTTCTAGTACATTTTTTAATTGTGAAATTACGATAATGCCCTTAAAAAAACTGATTATAATCTAATCACATAATTAAGTCTACTTACCTAAATTTAATGCCCACCCAATTAATATAACCATTCCCACCAAAAATCTAGGGTTCCCATCCCATCTCATTTACACTCTCAGTCTTCATCTTCCCAACCACCATATTCAATGCTAGTTCTACCCACCACCATTAATGGCGACTGTTCAAATTCCTCGTTCTTCCCCCTTTCTACATCACTTATTCCTTGTTTTCGTCTTTTGCTGTTTCACTCTCACTGTTCTCACTCTCACTCGTTCTCCCTTCTTTAACTCACTTCCTCTCCATTTCGAAACCCTAAAATTGGCAGATCTGGGTTTTCCTGTACCTATTTCTTCCAAAATTTCTGAAAAATGAGTTCCCCTAACCAAAAAAAGGAAGATCCTGAGGTTATTGCCACCTACAAGTGCCACCCACGCACGGGGAAGATGCGTTTGATAGGTACGCGCACTGCAATGTACCTTGATATGAAACGCCGAACTGGAGGGGGTGCAAAGCTGACTCCTTACGTCTCCGATGAGGAGCGTGGTCCAGATCTGGGCAAAGGCGTTGAGGTTTCCGTCAATAAGCCTCCTGAAATTGTTGTTCTTGACAGCGATGATGATGAAACCCCAATTGCAACCCCTGTCCAGGCCAGAACCGTTGCGGAGAAGGTGGGGGTGGTCAGATCTAAGACTACGCAAGAATTCTCTGGGAAAAAGCGCGTCAGATCTGAGTCCCATAAGGATTACAGTGTTGAAAGTGCAGGGTCTTGCAACCCTTTCACTACTACCACCAACTAATCTAGCAGCGTAACACATTTCTAATCCTACTTCTTATTCAGTCCTTTATCTCATGGTTTTTGATGTTTCTGTTGATTTGATGTGGCGTTCTTTGAAAATAATGCGTTGAGTAGCCTGATTTTCATGCTTATTTCCGTATTAAGTATGTGGTATATGTGTTGTTGGTATTTCATGGTGGTTGCCCTAATTGAGATTGATTGGTAGTATATGTTTGTTGGTATTTCATGCTGGTTGCCCTAATTGAGATTGAATGCTAGTATATGTGTTGTTGGTATTTCATGCTGGTTGCTCTGTATCCAAATTGAGATTGATTGCTATTTCATGCTGGGATTATTGAGTGTATTGCTCTGTATCCAACTTGTTGTGCATATTCACCTGTTTGGAATTGTGTGACTGGTGGTTGACCTATTCATGCTCTGTCTTAGGCTGTGTAGGCTGTGTAGGCTGTGGTTGGGCTGTGTAGGCTATGGTTGGGCTGTGTAGGCTGTGGTTGTTGTCCTAGGCTGGTGCTTGTTGTCCTAGGCTTGTTGCCCTAACTGAGATTGATTGCTATTTTATGCTGGGATTATTGAGTGTATTGTTCTGTATCCAACTTGTTGTGCATATTCACCTGTTTGGAATTGTGTTGGCTGGTGGTTGACCTATTCATGCTCTGTCTTAGGCTGTGTAGGCTGTGGTTGGGCTGTGTAGGCTGTGGTTGTTGTCCTAGGCTGGTGCTTGTTGTGATAAGCTTGTTGTCCTAGGCTTGTTGCCCTGAGGCTGATGCACATAATTTGTTTCCTGTTGGCTGTAATGATTTTCTTGTTATGCATCTTCACCTGTTTTGAAATCTGTTGGCTGGTGTTTGACCTATTCATGCTCTGATGCACATAATTGGTGGGTAGTTGTGCATCCTCACCTGTGAGGAAATCTATTTGTTGCTGGTTGACATGCTCTGCATGATATTGATTCTTGTGGGTGTGGTTTGCTTGGTGGTAGGGATGGTTAACAAAAAAAAAAGTGTGGGTTTTGTGGTTGGCCTGTTTATGATGTGGTTGTTGTCCTGAGGCTGGTGCACAGACTGATGAGTGTCCCTGTGTTGGTTGCCTACATGAGTGTCCCTGTATGAGTCCCCCCATGTGATACCTGTCCCTAGGTGAATAGAGTCCCTCAGTGTGTTGTGTTGTGTGTGCCTGCAAATTCCAAGTGATGAAGGGACTCATTTGACACTCCACATTCATAACTAGGAATTGCTCCAACAACTCCATATAAGAGTTGTTGTTGAGGAAACCAGTTATGCAATGTATGTGATAAAAAAAACCCCATCTGATGGAATGATGCTTCCAGCCTGATTTGCACATATTAATCATCTAGTTTGTAAACACTTGTAAATAATTGAACCATCAATGAAGTGGTACTTCTTACCAAAAAATTGTACATTTCCCAACAATAGGATCTTAAGACTGCCTTACAATAATAGTTTGCAAAGATTTAAACAAAAGACACCTAACCAATGATTGAAATAGTGTACTTAATCAAAATAAAAAACAGCACATACTGTGTTGCATGCTTGTTGTTTCATTTTCAATGGTTATGTGTGGCAGTCTCAGTCTGTTGATCTCTTTCACCTGTTTGAGTTGAGTTCAATCTGCATCTACTTGCATAGCTTCATCTTCTTCCATTCCTTGGCCTTGGTGGACTGGTATGAAAATGCTGTTGAGGTAATTAACAGCCTGTTGCACCACATTCTTGTCCACCTCCAGTTGCTCTGGCAGCATCCCCATCATCTCAAGTCTTTTTTTGCCTTTGTGGGGAGGGATAAAGTTATTCCCTCCTTGGTTTATCAGAATTTCTTCAATAAAACATTGTAGACTTATCCAAATTTGCTTGTTCAACTCTGGGTTGAACATCTGATAAGCCTTTGTCACTCTGTCAATGAGTTCCTTTAGGTTTTTTGGGAAGGATTGGTATTGTATTGATTGGATTACATTGAATAGCCCTAGATCCAACACATTCAAATCTGGGGACTGAGGTGGTTGGTAAATGAATTGAATGTTGAATCCCTCAGACTGACAAGCTGCTTGAAATTCCTCATCCCTAGGAATTTGATGAGGTCTGGCATTATCCCACTGAATAAATATGTCCTTGGGTAGATGGGCAGGCCATTTAGCTTTGATTGCTGGAATGACATTGTTGATTAGCATTGCTCTTATGGCTTCTTTGTTGACATTCTGTGTTGCCTTGATTTCCACAGCACCAGCATCCCTGTTTTTGCTTTTTTTTCTTTGCTATGCTTTCATAGACAAATGGAAAAATTCCATACTTTCCATCATGTATTAATGCTCCATTAGGGCCAAATATGGGTTTGCCAATTGCTGCTATGAACATACCTTTAACTTTGAACCTCTTGGATTGTTGGCACATGTATGGATTTGCCTCATTTGGTAGAAGGTAGAACCTCCTTGTTTCTGGGTTCAAGTAGAACCATTTTTCATCTACATGGATAACTTGTTGCATGTCCACAAATTTGCAATCCCCATTATGAGTGGCTGACAGTAAATGAGCTAACACCTATTTCATTCTTGCTATTTTGTGATTGGATGTCAGTGCTGGGTGATTTGTTGCTGTATGTGTTCTCAATCTGCCTTGTTTCTTTAGCTTGTGGATTGCTGACTGTGAGATCTTGAGAGCACATGCATAGCTTCTCTCTGTTGTCCTCTTATTCAATGGTGCTGACTGTAGGAACTCATCAGTGTAATCTCTGGGTTTGGGTCCTGTTTTGCCCAGTTTCTTGCTTCTCACATCTATGACATTGCCCTGTGCCATTTGTGTTTTGATGTCTGTAAATAATCTCAGGATGGTTGACCTGTGTACATTGAATTTTCTTGCTTGTTCTGATAATTACCCTCTGGGCAACTCCCCCCCCCCCTTCTAACTTCAGTAGAAAACCATCTACTAGCTCCCTTTTTTGCTGAGTTGTCAGTTGTTTTCTTGCTGTTGGTCCCTGAGATGAATCCTCATGCTGATTGCTGTTGCTGGCATTCAGTTCAGTCCCTTCTTGGTGGTTTGCTTGACTTTGTCCCATAATGTTTTCATCGTTCTGCATTTGATCAATGCCAAAATATGGATCATTTGCATAATCTGACATGTTCAGATTACTAATGTTGCTGAGTTCCAGTTGTCAGGTACTGGTGATGAGGTGTGGGGGCTTTTTTTTGAATGGGTTGCTTTACTGAACCAGGGAAGAAGAAGATGAAGCTGCAACTAACTTAGTACCCTAGATTTTCATGTTTGGAATGTAGCAGAATATTAATTTTATGACTGATTTTTCTGTCTGGAATGTAGGACAGATCTTTTGTAAAGAATATTTGGACAAGTTATGATGGTAGCCTTAAATACCCCCTCTTTGAATGACATATTCAAAGGGGGAGGGAAATTTGAATGTTTTGTAAATTTGGTTTAGGGGGGAAAAAAATTTCATGGCTTTACTCTTGTTTTAGGTGACTGATGTGAAAAAACAGGAGGGAGAAAAAATTGAGGGGGAAAAATGGAGCCAAAATAATTGGGGCCAAAATTCCCCCAAAAAATTTAAATTTTTGGGACCACTTTATTCATTTTTTCTCTCTCCTCATAAAATAAAAATATCTTTCCCTCCCTTTTTAATTTATTAATCACCTACCCCACTACTAAACACCCCTTAAAAGTTTTGCATTGGTATCCGAAAACGGTACCATTGTTGCAAATA